CACTCCTCTCTCCTGGCTTATTCCTGGTGATCAGCTTTCCAGTTTTAGTAACCCTAGAGATCATTTTTAAAAATTTCTGCCTGCATGCCAGAAGAGGGCACCAGATCTCATTACAGATGGTTGGGAGCCACCATGTGGTTGCTGGGATTTGAACTCAGGACCTGGAGCCAGGGCTCTTAATTGTTGAGCCATCTCTCCAGCCCCCTAAAGATCATTTCTTTAGCAAAGCTTGCCTTTTAATTTTTTTTTTAAAGTTTAATTGGAAAGTTATCAATGAAGCTGGGCAGTGGTGGTGCATGCCTTTAGCCCCAGCACTTCTGAGGCAGAGGCAGGCAGATCTCTGTGAGTTCAAGGCCAACCTGCTATATATCGAAAGTTCCAGGACACTCAGGGCTGTTACACAGAGAGACCCTATCTCAACATCACCACCACTCCCAAGAAAAAGAAAAGGAAAAATTATACGGGTATATACTTGCGGAGTCTGATACATTTCGACACATGAGTACATTGTGAAATGATCAAGTCAGACCAACCAACCTCAGTTTTCCCTTTGTCGGTATTATTCTGTTTTAGGTGGGGTCTCATGTAGCCCAGGTTCAAGGACGACCTTGAACTCAGATCCTCCTGCCTCCACTTCCCCAGTGCTGGAATGACAGGTGTGTGCCCCATGCCTAACTCAATGTGGAGCCAGGAGTCAAAGCTGGGTTTCATACCGGTTAGGCAGAGATTCTCCCTACCAAGCTGTACACCCGCTGCTTGTGTTCCTTCAATGCTTTTACCATTGGTTTGGTTCATTTATTACCTTTTTTAAAAAAATATTTTTAAAGAGAAAAACAGGTTTGTTGAGTACACTGTAGGGGGGTTGGGGCAGTGCACTGGGCAACAAGGAGGTACTGTCTACAAAGTTGTTCATTAACAGTGTTCTTTTTCTTTGAAGAACTCATCACAGTAGGAGTTCTTTTTCTTTCTTAGAGATCATGTGCTAGGTAATTTGTAAACTGAACCACACCCCAGCCCTATATGATGATTTTGTTTGAATTATTTTACAGAACTTTGTTTGTTTGTTTTATTAGACAGGGTTTCTCTGTGTAGCACTGGCTGTCCTGGAACTGCCTCTGTAAACCAGCCGTCCTGGCCTTGAACTCACAAAGATCCGCCTGCCCCTGCCTCCAGAGTGCTAGAATTAAAGGTGTGCACCACCACTGCCCAACCTCAGAACTATCTTTATTACATTATTTGATTAATTTTTGTATGTATTTATTGGGGGCCTGTGTTCCATGGTGCGCATGCCACAACATACATGTGGAGGCTGGAGGACAACCTTTGGGAGTAGGCTCTCTCCTACCGTGTGACACCTGGAGATCGAATTTACATGTCAAGCTTGGTAGCAAGCACCCTTACCTACTGAACCATTCTTTGGGCCAGTCATGGGTGTTTTCATGTATAAATTGCAAGCTCTTTGAAACAGGAATTGTGGCGGCTTTGGCCCTTTATGTCTGTCTGTCTGTCTGCCTTTCTCTCTACCTCCCCCCCCCCCTTGTGTTTTAGATAGGGCCTTTCATTACCCATGCTAGACTTGAACTCGAGACAAATAGAGATTTTAGCTCAGTAGTAGATCATTTGCTTGATTGGCACAGGCCCTGCATTTGGTCCCTGCCTCAGTCTCCCAAGTGCTGGGAATGGTGATTCTGGCTACCACATGCAGCTGGGAAATGCTGATTTGTGCTACCACATGCCACGTGCAGCTAGTTATTTCTTTTCTTCTCCTTTTTTTTTTCTTTTTCTTTTTTTTTCGTTTTTTGCCTTGGTGTTTGGGACATAGTTGACACCAAGAACTATTTCTTTTTTTCCCCTCTCTTCCTCCCTCCCGCCTTCCTTCCCTCTCTTCCTTCTTTTTCTGGTACCAGGAACTGAACCCAGGACCTTGTGTGTGCTAGGCAGGCTATATACACACTTACCTCTCCTAACACACACACACTTTTCATTTTTTTCTTTTAATTTAATGTGTGTGGGTGTTGCCTGTGTGTATGTCTGTGCACCATGTGCATGCAGTGCCCCCAGGAGGCCAGAAGAGGGTGTCACATCCTCTGGGGCAGGAGTTAAAGTCAATGCTAGTGCTCTGGGCCATCTCTTCAACCGCTCAAACTTTTTTTTTTTTTTTTAAAAAAAAGGCCTGCCTTTAAGCCCCCAATCCTTCTGCTTCAGCCTACCCATTGCCTGGCAATACTTACTCCTTGAATGAAAACTTCAACTGTTTTGCATTTGGCACTAAAAAGAATACAGAGCACAGAATTCATTTTGTGTTGTTTGTTTGTTTCTGTTGTGTAATCTGGTTAGTAATCCCTTGTTAGGATGTGAGTTCCAAACATTTAACAGGACTTTTCACTCTGCTGTCACTGTCCTGTCGTGCACATGCATCTTGGATGTTGTTGAAATCCAGTTCATCTACTTTTATTTTGTTGCCTGTTCTTTTGGTATCATATCCAATAGGTCACTGCCAAATCCAATGTCATGGCTGGATTTGGTGGCACAGGACTATACTTGGAAGGCTGAGGCAGGAATGTCTTGGGTTCAAAGATCAAAGCCCATATGGAGTCTATAGTGAATTCCAGGTCAGGGTGAACTATATATCAAGATTCTATCATTTTAAAAAAGGGTTGGAGAGATGAGTTAGCGATTAAGAGTACTTACTGCTCTTGTGGAGGACTGGAGTTTGGTTCCCAGCACCCACAGGGCAGCTCACAACCCTCTGTAATTCCAGTTCCAGGAGCTCTGGCACTCTCTTCTGACTTCTTCTGGTACTGCTTGCACATGATGCACAGACATACCCTCAGGCACACACATGTAAGGTAAAATAGATAGCTATTTTTGAAAAGAAAGGGGGAAAATCCAACCATGAATCTTTTCTCTGTGTCTTTTTCTAAGTTTTGTAGCCTTAGCTTTTGACCTGTTTGGTACAGGGAATTCTGTGAGGACCCAGCTTTATTTTCTTACATATGGATATCTGGTTCCTGAGACTGGGTTGTGGAAATAACCATACTTCTCCTTTGGATGATTGTGGCATGCTTGTCAGAAATTGTTTGACCATATATGTAAGGGTTTGTTTCTGGATTATTCTATTCCATTTTTCTATACATCCATTTTCCCCATACCACTCTGTTCAGTTGTGATAAAATGCATAACGTAAAACTTGCCACTTTTTAAGTATACAGTTGAGTGGCATGAAGGACATTCATATCGTTACCACTTTTCTTTTGTCCATTGTATTCCATTCAGAATATTCCATTGTATGATACACCATTATTCACTTCCTTCCCTCTGCTAAGAGACACTCCAGCTGTTATAGTTAATGCCACGATAAATGAAGTAATTTTAGAAGTCATTTTTTGTCAGGCAGGTGGTGACATACACCTTTATCCCAGCAATTGAGAGGCAGAGGCAGGTGGATCTCTGTGAGTTCAAGGCCAGCCTGGTCTACAGAGTGAGTTCCAAGGCAGCCAGTGCTACACAGACAAGGAACCTGTCTTGAAAACAACAACAAAAATCAAATCATTTTTCTTATGTAAGGGTATCTATGGGATAATTTCTGAGACCAATCTAACATTTGTGTTTTTATAGTTTTGGCAAGACGACAAATGCCTTCCAAAGAGGTTTTACCTCTCCACAAGTAATGTTGGACCTCATTTCCCCATTCCCTCCCAGTGTAGCATATTAGCTTCTGGAAAAAAAAAAAAAAAAAAAAAAAACAACAAAACTCTACTTGATAAGTAAAATATGTTCTACTGGAGATGTAGCTCACTTGGTAGAGTCTAGCATCCCCAGCAGCACATAAGACCAGGTACAGTGGTGCACATCTGTGATCGCAGTGCTTGTGGGGTGAAGGCAGGGTCACAAGTTCAAGGCCAGATTAGACTACAGATGAGACCACGTCTTTAAGAGAGAGATAGGAAGGGGGTTTAATGGGTAAGAGCTCTCACTGCATGAGGGAGGACCTCATGGGATCCCCAGCACCCACATAAAAAGCTGAGCATGTAGGGTAAGCATGGTGGCACACATCTTTCGTCTGAGCACTCAGGAGGCAGAGGCAGGCGGATCTCCATGAACTTGAGGCCAGCCTGGTCTACATAAAGAGACCCTGTGTCAAAACAAAACAAAGAAAGCCAGGCATGACCTATATACCTGTAACCCCAGAATTGAGAAGATGGGTTGGGTTCAGTGAGGGAGCTTTTCCAAGGGAGTGTGGCAGAAAACATTAGAGGAAGACATCCACGTCCTTTCTGTCCTCTGCAAGCTGTCTAGGTTGTATGTACCTCTGCAAGTATGCATACACACACTACCTCTGTCTCTATCTCAAATGAAACAAACATGGAAAAATAACCCCATTTGTATAAATGAGCTGCAATGACTGTATACTTTATATCAATATCTTAGCTCGGTCTAAATTCAGGCATTGCACTCTACTAACAGCAGCTACAGTTTCAGGGATGCTAACGTTTGTGTGTGGAAAATGGAATGTCATTTTTAGTTGACTGATTCCAAAGGTTCTTGCTTTGTTTTGGTTTGTTTCTGTTTTTGTTTTGAGAGAAGGTTTCACCCAGGCTGACCTCAGACTGACAAGTAGCTGAGGATGACCCCAAACACACGATCCTGCTGCCAGGACATCGGGTTTAAATCCAGTTTACATAGTGCTATGGATGGAGTTCAGAGCTTTGTGGGTGCTAAACAAGCTCCATCCTCAGCCCCTTGCCCTGCACCATTGTTTCTCACATTTGACTTCATCCTCACGAATCATCGTTTATATCAGAGCATGTGACTTTATGGCCCCACAAAGTGAGGGCTGCTGTGATCCTCTGCCTCTCCTGGGAGACTAGATTAAAGATAAATCCTGGCAGAAGTAGGTGTGCAAATAGTTTTCTAAAATGGAGAGAGTAAAAAAAGAAAAAAGAAAAAAAAAAAAAAGCTTAATTTGAAGACATCTTTGTTTTCTTCCTTCTCTGAAGGTACCAGAAAGCGGCTGAAGAGGCAAACACAGAAAAGAAGAGAAATGTGAGTACTCAGAGGCGCGGGGCAGGTGGAAGGAACTTAAGCAGTCTGTGTGGCCAAGCCACCTGCCCCTCTGTGGAGCGTGGGCTCCATGTCAGCTGAGCTGGGCATTTGTGCCAGCTGCTCTGATGTGTGAGCCATTTGCTGAGAGAAGTTGGCTTAGGTGCAGGGAATCCTGTTTTCAGGTTATTTTCCTTTTGAACTCCTTTTTTTCTTTCCTGTACTGAGTAAAGGATAGAAGGCCAGGTGTTTTATTTACTAAGGTTGGTAAAATGAGTACCCCATCAGCTCAAATGAGACCAGGTTTCCTGGGTCACCATCCATTTCTCCAAATGGAACAGTCTGCTTAAAACAAAGCAATGCAGCTGGGCTCCTCCCCTAGGCCCTTTCTGGAAGCTGGCTCCTAGACTGGGTCTAGTTAGTAAGTTTCACAGCTTCTGGGTCCCGCCAGCACCCAGTCCGTGCTTTCTCTACTATCCCCAGTCTAACTTCCAGCTGGGCCAGATCATTTTCCCTTTTTTAGGGTGGAAGTTGCTCTCATTGTACACCGAGGCTTACTTTGGATGCACAAACTAGAGACATCCGTGGCTTTTTAGCTTCTAAAGGATTCAATGTCATAAGGAACATAGCTTAGATGGGTGTATAACATTTGCCTGTTGGTTTGTCTCTCTAGGGGAGTGGTATTAACTTGGTCTTGAGCTTAATTTTCCTGTGATCTGAAAACTGAGATCCCTGGTACGTTAATAGAAGAAAAGTATTTGGTCCTGGTGATTCATGCCAGTAATCCTAGCCTCAGAAGTTGAAGCAGGAGGATTGATCCAAGTTTAAGGCCTACCTGAGCTACACAATGAATTCTTGACCGGCCTTGCTTACAATGTAAAACCGTGTCAAAAACAAAACAACAGAAAAGAAGCCCCCACAATCCACCCAGTTGCTGGTTGCCCTCGCCGTCTCTATTCTGTCGGCTTCTTCCACTTTTCTTTTACTTGGTTAGTTACAAGTTTCTATAGGGCACCTGATATGTGCTAAACAGTTTTTAGACACGAACAATACGGACCACATCTTGGGAATTTTCATTCTAGTGGAGGAAATAGCGGCTGTTGCTTTAAAACTTCTTGAAGAAGATAAAAAAAAGGTGTGGTCCTCTCATCTGGTACTTACTTGTTAAATAACCCTATCTGAGGTCATGAGGCAAAGAGAGGAGAGATTGGGACACAAAGAACAGTATGCAAAGGTCCCGAGGACTAGTAAGAGAAAGTTCTGCAGAGTCCAGGGGAAGACTTGGGCTTTAGCTCTGAAGAGAAAGGACTTTGGAGAAATGTGTAAAGGATGGACGTGACCCAACTTAAACAGTTGAGGAACACAAGCAGAAGCATGGGGAGCAATCAAGGAACATTTCTAGGCTTGAAGATAAGCTCGATGGTAGAGAATAAACCAGGTGTAGACATGCCCAAGCCCAGCTCTGTGGAGATAGAAGCAGGAGGATCAGAAATTCAAGATTATTCTCCACTACATAGTGAGTTCAAGGATAACCTGGGCTACATGAGACCCTGACTCAAAAGAAAGAAGGAAGAAAGGAAGCCAGGGAAGAAAGAAAGGAATCAATTACTCGGTTGTAAGATGTGTGTAGTAGAACTCACATCTCAGCACGACTAGGGAGGCTGAGGACAGCTTGAGCTATAGTGAGTTTGAGGGAATGCTAATGGTCGATCGTATTACATAAGGAGATGTATTAGCCATGTGAACCAGTGGTTAGCTCCCCGACGGTCAGAGAAGCACAAATAAACCAGTGAGATATGCACTGTGATACAATCAGCAAATAAATTTGAAAAATGTGAATATTCACTAGTGGGCCGCAAGTACAATTATACAGTGTAGTATTTGTTCTATCTGGTTAAGGTTTATGTGTGTGACATGTAAATGTCACACACCTGTAATCTCAGCACTCAGGCAGAGCAGGAAGAGGTCTGGGCAGTGTATAAAGACCTATCTTAGCTGGGTGGTGATGGCACATGCCTTTAATCCCAGCACTTGGGAGGCAGAGGCAGGTGGATCTCTGAGTTGGAGGTCAGCCTGGTCTACAGAGTGAGTTCCAGAACAGCTAAGGCTACACAAAGAAACCCTGTCTCAAAAACAAAACAAAACTATCTTAAATAGAAAGAAAGATGACTAAAATGTGAGGAAATGAGAATTGTAACAGCACCTTGTACTTTGAGGACCCTTTACTATGCAATGCAAGAGGCAGCACTTAGAGTAACAAGAGATAAAAGAGCCTTTTTTTGAAACTTTTTATTTTGAAATTGTTTTTGAATTAGATGTTTTGAATTAGATTTGAATAAGATGATGCTCTCCTATACCTTCTCCTAAGTGAGTGTGGTGGTGTACATTTGTAGTCCCAGTACTTGGGAAGCTGTAGGACATTGTCTCAAAACAAAAAATCCAGCTGGGAAGATTGATGAGCAATTAAGAGTGTGTATTACTCTTGCTGAGGACGGGGCACACCAGGCAGTTCACAATGACCTCTAACTTCAGATCTAAGACCTCTGTCCTCTGAGGGCACTAGAACACATATACACAAGCTTCTGATTTAACTATACAGAACTCTGAAAACATTTCTCAAAGCTGGGGGCTAGTCAGATGGCTCCACAGTTAATTATAGTTATGGCTGCTCTTCCAGAGGACCCAGGTTCAAATATAGCAGCTCAAAACTGTAACTCCAGCTCCAGGGGTTTTGACACCCTCCTACAGACATACATGCACACAAAATACCAATGCACATAAAATTAAAAGAAAAAAAATTCTCAAAGCCATGGAGTTATGAAGTAAACTATACTTTATTTTTTACCAGTTTTTCACTAATGACAGAGGTCTGCTTTTCCTCTCTCAGGACAGAGGGAAATGTTCACACACATATGTGAAGTGACTGTCCTTGCTTAGCAAGTACTTTACCATGAAGTGAAGCCAGTACATTACCCCTGATAACTGTATAGGGATTGGCTGCATGATAGCCTACATTCCTTTTTACCCAAGGCATGGGGGCACAGACAGTAACCCTATTGTTGCTCACAGTCTCAGGTCCTTCCCAAGCTCAGACTGAACCTTCTTGACATGCGTGCCATGTACACCAAGCTATAGCCGTGCACCCAGATTCTAGTTCCTGCTTTTCTGGAATGCATCAGCCTAGCAATTTCTCCCCTCTTAGAGGTTCATGTGTCTGATTCACTGCTCTACCCAAACATCTTCCCACATTTTCTTTTTTTTTTTCTTTTTTTTCCTTTTGACCTGTATTAGGTCTCAAACCCAGGACAAATGCTAACTGAGGCGCCTATCAAAGCAGACGCTGCCTGCCAGTCTCCACATTGCCAGTGCCTGCCGTACCTCACTTGTGACCCTGAGCTCTCCAGCCCAGGGTCTGCAATGGGTCTTCCTTCCCCTAGCTTCTCTTGTTCCTGTATAACCCAGCCATTTTGGCTCCACCTATCTCGGTTCCTGCTCTCATGGCCTCTTGGTTTCTCCCCTTTCCCCACATGGCCTGGTTCAGTTTTCCAGACATGCCCAGTCTGGACTCTTCCACATGCTCTGCCTCTGTCTGTGCTGTCCCTTCTATCAACCCCCAAGGAGCAGTCACACCCTTCTTTTATTTCCTTTCTTCATTCAACATGAAAATGTACTGTCTAGTCCTGGCCGGAGTTGTTTTATATTGTTTTCAGCAGGGTCTTGCTTGCTACATAGCCCTAATTCTCAGCAAAACTTTTGCTTCGGCCTCCCAATTTCTGGAATCATGGGCAAGTGACCACTATGTCTGGTTCCTCCTCTTGCATCATTCATTGATCTTATTTATTTACTTCTTTTTAGAGATATGACCTCTCTATATAGGTTCCTAGCTTGCTTTGACTCGCAGACTCATAGCTCTCCTTCTCAGCCTCCCAAAGTCTGTGATTACGAGCCTTAACCACCATGCCCAGCTTCATCCTGCTTTGTTTGTTTGTTTTGAAACGATGTGTCTTGTAGCCAAGACTGGCCATAGACTCCCTATGTAGCTTGGGTGACCTCAAAATTTCCCGTTCCTCCTGCCTCAGCCTCACCCTCAGCCTCTGCCTCTGCCTCAGCCTCTGCCAAGTGCTGGTGCTACTACTCTGAACCCTCTGTCTTTTAAAATGACCTCCCTGACAAGATTTCCACAAGACAGCTCACTGACCCTCCTCTTCATGTTACAGGCAGGAGAGGAAGAGAAAGTTGGAAGGGATTGGGTTCTGTCTCATCAAAATCAGATGGTCATGCAGGAGGGACCCTATGTCATACCTCTGTGTGGTCTGGACTCCAGCAGCAGCTATTATCCAGAGGTGCCGTTTGCTAAGTCTCAAGTTTGCAGGGTGTTGTTTGGAGAAAGGAGGCCGAGGAAGTGTAGCAACCACTGTAGCTGTGAAAATACAACGATCCGTGATATGTATCTGAAAAAGTAGTACCCGCTCACCCAGGCAGCTGTAGCTCTCTCTACCTCTCAGCTCCTGTGCAGACCTGGTACAGCAAAGTGAAGGCAGGGCAGGACCTTGATGACGCTCTGTGGCAGGAAGTACTAAGTCTGAGAATGCCACTGGCAGTGGAACACTAGCTTTGAGGGACATTTTCCATTTATTTTTATGTTTTGACACAGGGTCTGTGTTGTGCAGGCAAGTCTTAAACTCCTGGGCTCAAGCAATTATTCCCCTGCCTCAGTCTTCTAAACAAGTACCCAGAAAAATGGGATTTGTGCCATCTTAGCTGGCAGGAGCTGGGCTTTTTTGTTTGTTTGTTTGTTTGTTTTCCCCTTTTTCAACTTATGCCTTTTGTGTTTCCTCTGCCTCTGGTCCATGCTTGCAGCCTCTAGCCAGGGTTTAAACCCGAGGATCCAGCTGTTCCTCTGTAATTCTGTGGCCCAAGCTCTGCTGCTCCTCGGTGAAGTGCTCTCTGTGTGTTCAGAAGAGGAAGAGGGCTAGACCTAATTCCCAATATAGCTGCTAATCCCACTAATTCCCTGAAGTCTTTCAGTCCTAGGTTGCTTGTCCTTTCTTTCCTAGTTGAAATCCTGAGAAGTCACAGGGAACAGGAATGGAGAATGAGAAGGTCCTGGAGGTTTGGATCGTTTAGGACTCTGAAAGCACGGGATATTTAGTTTTCCCTCAACAAACATGTTTCCACAATTTCCCTCAGCATTCCTGACAATTCACAGATAGATTGTTTTTCAGTCTGTGCTATCCTATCATTTTTGACCCAAGTGAAAGTGAGCTCTCTTAGATATGTGTGTAAATGAGTATGTCCTTTGAGTATCAGAGTGTGTTCTCTTTTCTTATGAAGCTTGTATGTTTCTCAACCAAAAGATCTGTAAAATAGTGAATTTTCTAAGATAGCTACAAATTAGATATAGATAAATAGTAGAGAAGAGAAAGATTAGATTATTATACAGAAATAAAATCTGAGAGTTTGCTGAGCAATGGTAGCCCACACCTTTAATACCAGGACTCGGGAAGCGAAGTCAGGCGGATTTCTATGAGTTCTAGGCCAGCCTGGTCTACAGAGCAAGATCCAGGACAGGCTCCAAAGCTACAGAGAAACCCTGTCTCAAAAAACAAAAACAAAACAAACAAACACATTTTTAAAAAAAAAAATCAGAGAGCTGGGTATGCTCAGGGGTAGGATATTTGCCAGACATGAAAAAGGTTCTTCTGTTTGACCCACAAAATGGGAAAGAAAATGTTTATATGCATGTAAATTTTGTCAGCTATATACTAATACTACCCATGCAAAAACTGTAAATCTCTAGATTTTATAGATAGCTCTAGTCCTCCAAGTTGTTCTCCATAATTATAACTGGAATTGCATAGGTACTGCATCTTTGTCTTGTTTTCTTGTAAGAAAAAAATCCTAGCATACATCCTCCTGTACTTTTGTAGCACACTTGGGTGAACTTTTACTCAAGTATAGTTACAATGTTGAAGGTACCTAACAATTTGCTTTTTTCTTGCTTTCCTGGTGAGTCTTGGGAGAAAAAAAAGTCTGTCCAATGCAACTACCATGAGATGTAGGCTGTCCTCACTGCTCACTTTGTCCTTATAAGGCTATCCTGTTTTATCACTTCCTGCTTCAGCTCCTGACTTTTCCCTCTTCCCCCTCGGGGCCCTGGGTGGATGCTTGCTCCTGTGGCAGGGCAGTAACTATTCACAGCTGTCTGAACCAGTGGTGGACCAGGCGCAGTGTGGAGTTTTAACTTTCATTTTACAAAGAAGCATGTTTGGCTGTTGCAGCAGGCAAGTTCTAACTGGTCTTTGCTTCTTGTTCTTCTAGAACACTGAAACCCTCCCCCAGCACTTTAGAAGAGGGACCCTGTCGGTGTTAAAGAAGAAGTGGGAGAACCCTGTGGCTGCAGCAGAGTCCCCCATAGACACACTGCCAGACAGCAGCATCGAGGGCGGGCGCGGGCACAGAGTGGACCACCCTCCTGCCGAAGTGACGGAGGGCTCTGCTTCTGGACCCAGAGCAGACCAGGAAGGGCAAACCCAGCCCAAACTTAGATTTGGATCTCGTCCGGAAGCCGTTATTCACTGTCGGCATTCCCCCTCTGAGGACAGCCTGGATCTTAAAGCCCAGGCCACAGAAAGTCAGAAAATGGAAAATTGTCTAGGAGATTCCAGACATGAAGTAGAGAAATCTGAAATGAGTGAACACACAGATGCTTCGGGCAAGATAGAGAAATACAATGTTCCGCTCAACAGACTAAAGATGATGTTTGAGAGAGGTGAACACACTCAAAACAAGGTAAGAGCCGGGCGGGCTTAGAGCTCACTGTGGAAAACCTGGAGCACTAACCGTCATACTAACCGAGGCTGTTTGTCTGTCTGGTTAGCTGGAGTAGAGTTGAATGTGTGCCCAATATGTCTTTTTATTCGAGTCGCATTAAAAAAAGTCTCAAGTGAGCTATTTACAAGGGTGCTGAGATTTGAGGGTCCCCAGTCCTGTTTCATGTTAAATCTAGCTCATTCTGGGATTCAGGTTGGTACCTAACAACGAAGAGAGTTGGATGCCAATATGATTGTGTGCTCTCATACACTTACCCTTTTAATTTGTCATCCTGTGTCTTTTGTCATTTGTAGCCTTGGGGGTGTAAATTGCTGCGTGAAGGGCTGTGTGCTTGGTCACAGCTGCAGACTGAGAGTTAAGGCCAGAGTGCAGCATTAAGACTGAGGCTCAGTTGTCTCAGTGCTAGCTGAATCCTTCTCTTCTCAACTTCCCCATCTGTGCCTCCCAACAAGTGTTTTTTATCAGCTACACTCCTCTCCCAGGAAAAATCGGTGCTGAGAGTTCCACTAGTGTATCTAGCTTTCAGGAGTTTTGACTTGCAAATGCTCAGGGTTGCATTTTCCTGCATCTGCTAATGAAATTTGATACTTCATGTGGATTGCACACAAGTCCCCAGAGGGAATTACTTAACTAGAAAATGAGTTGCACATGCTGGTGCCTTGTAGCACGCTCCAGGGGCTGCAGAGAGGGTCATTTTTTCCAGTTTTCTCATACTTTCCTACGTATGCGGGGTAGTTTTTTACAACAGCCCTCATAATGAAATAAACATATCTGATGGGTAGCAAAACGATCATATACTCCTGATTCCAGCTACATGGGAAAGCTGTCTTTTCTTAAACCAAATATTTGGCCCGAATTCTGGTATTGGTGAAGTAATAGCATAAGGCATTCCTTCCGAGATAAAGAAAATAGCTCATCCTCCAGTCCTGGGTTATGTCTAGGGTGGTACCGTCGGTTCCTTCCAGTAACTCCCTGCAGCTGCTGCCTCCCTGCCCAGGAAAGGTCGTGACTGGAGACCATCTTTGAATGCTAGGAAGAATTTTTAGGATGTTTTGTTTTGTCTTGGCTAGAACCCTTTTCTGTGTATGCACTTTAGCTCCGCTTTAACCTGGAACCAATTGGCAAGAGATGTAACCACAAAGCAGTTTTACGTCGTTTCCTAAACTCCTCTCCAGTTTTTTAGTTCCCTGGGCCTGCCAACCCCTCTTTCTCCTTTATGGTCTTAATAAAGAAATTTTTTTTTTTTTTTTTTTTTTTTTTTTTTGTTAAATGAGAAGAATTTTAAACTGAAGGAAAAAAATGTCAGATCCTAACGAGAGAGGAAGGGGCCTTGTTGTGTCTCAAAGCCCCTTTGTAAGTCCCCTCACAGACCCGCCGGGGGTGGGATGGCTGACGTCATGCAACACACACACAATGTGGATTCAGTGGAAAGGGCCTGTGCATGTCAGAACTGGCCCCAGGTAGGAGATGACTGGGACAGCAGCAAACAAAAATGCTAATTATGTGTAAGGCTTTGGTGAGAGACTTCTTTCTTGGAAATGTCTAGTGAGAGGTGGGTAAAGACAAATCTATTTAAAAAAATACTTAAGATGGGGGGTAGACACACTATATATAAAGACCCATCGTGACCCATGACTCATCTTTTTTTTTTTTTTTTTTTTTTTTTTTTTTGAGACAGGGTTTCTCTGTGTAGCTTTGGAGCCTGTCCTGGAACTCATTCTTCACTGTGAGCCAGGCTGGCCTTGAACTCTGAGATCCGCCTGCCTGTGCTTCTGGAGTGATGTAATTAAAGACATGAACTACTACTCCCACCACCCAACCCCATGACTCATTTAGCACTCTGGGAGGCTGAGGCTAGGAGGCTAGCAGAGCTACAGTGTGGTAGATAGCCTGTGTGGATCCCCTGACTCTGCAGAAGAAAGGAAAGGAAGGACAGGAGGAGGGCAGGAAAGAGAGAGATCCTGCAGCATCAGCGTAATCTCATGGCTAAACTCATTGGAAGATGGTTCTGAGAGTTACGTTGCCTACATATATGTCTGCATACCATGTACATGCCCAGGGAGGTCAGAAGAAAGCACCAGGTCCAGATACCCCTGGAACTGGAGTTATAGATGGGGTGAGCCACTATGTGGGTGCTAGCAATCAAACCCAGGGGGTTTGTGTTGTTGTGGGCTGGCCTTAGGCTATTTATCCTCCTGCTTCCTTCCAAGTGCTGGGATTATTGGTGTATATACCACACCTGCTTTCATATACCTAATTAATCTAGCTTTTTATTGAGTTACTACATCACTCATGGTTTACACCTTATAAGGTTTGCAAGTGTAGGACTGTTGTAACAAATTTTTCACTGTAGCTGAACATGTCTTGTAAAAGACATATCTGTATAAATCACATTTGATGATTAATGTGTCAGTGTAACCCTTCAGTGAGATTATAATGGTGTCCCTTGAGCAATTCTGATACTCTTCACTTATCCTTGTCTGAATGGCTATTGGTGTATCATGGATCAGTCATCTTCTAATCTGTATCGTGCCAACTAACTGCTTCCTGCTCCAGCCAGTCTGATTTTCGTCAAACATGTTGAAACTCAGTGTCAAGACTGGAACATTACATAAGCATTTGTGGGGCAAACACAGCACCATCTGCGAGCCAGGTACCAATCCGAGTCTGTGCTTCCTGCTGTGGGGCTCACTGCTGACAAGACAGCAGATGCAGGTAGATGCCCATCTCTTCTGGCCTCCAGATGCTGCTATGTAGACCCTTCAGCTACTTGAACTACTTGAATAACCTCTAAGGCTATTTTGTTCATTTTCTTACTCTCAGCTCTCAGTTAGGATATCATAACCCCAGGTCAGCTTTACACATGGAAATAGCTGAAGTTAGAGAAGTTATTTGGGGTGGGGGGAACGCCTAATGTCATGTGACTAATCTCAGAACAAGGGTTGAACTTGTGTAGCCTTCTACCATATAACACAAGCTCCATGGATATTAGAATTAGAATTGGTTACTGTTCAGACACAAATGACTGTAGCCCTGCCTGTCTTTGACATCTGTGGAAACAGATGAACTTAAGATCATATAATAGTGGTATCCTCACAAATAAGCTCTCTAATCTACCCCCATCACACACACACACACACACACACACACACACACACACACACACACACACACACAAGAGTGTTTCTCTGTATATCCCTGGCTGTCCTGGAACTCACTCTGTAGACCAGACTGGCCTCAACTCACAGAGATCCACCTGCCTCTGCTTCCCAAGTGCTGGGATTAAAAGCATGAGCCACCATTGCCCAGCTGCACTTCCCTTTTTGGGGGGCTGTATTTCATAATCTGTGTAATCACTTCCCAAATATTAGATTCTTTTCTATCCCTGAGCAACTTGGCAGCAATGTTTTGTTTTGAGTAACTTCTTTGGGCTATATTCTGTGGTATGTACCATATTTAGAAGATACATTTTTCCTGATGTTCTTCTTACATATTTTCAGCTTGACCTCAAAGATTATACTATGTCAAAACTATCCATTGCCTGAGCACATGACCCCAAAAGCCTCATCTGCTATTGGTTTTTGTAGGATTCTTAACTATTTCATATTTTATGTGGGTACATGTTTTGCCTGCAAGTCTGTGTACCCCATGGGCACCTGGAATCCATGGATATTAGAAGAGGGCATCAGAATCCCTGGAGTTATGGATGATTGTGAGCCACCACGTGCCTGCTAGTAACAGAAACTAGGTCCTAGTTCTTAACTGCTGAGCCATCTCTCCAGCCCCCAGATTTTTAACTACTGAATTAGCTTACTAAATAAAACATTTTTTCCTTTTCCTTTTTCTTTTCTTTCTTTCTTTTTTTTAACTTATGGAACATTTCATGAATTTTTTCTTTCTTTTTTTTTTTTTAACTATGGAACACTTCAGGAATTTTCGTGTTATCCTTTCACAGGGACCATGCTAATCTCTGTCATTTCAATTTTAGTGTATATGCTGCCATGGCAAGCACTTTTCTTTTCTCTCTCTCTCTCTCTCTCTCTCTCATTATTATAAGGCTAGCACAATTTTTATGGAACACTTAGAAATACAGAAAATGTAGAGACATTCTGTGTCTGATGATAACTGCTTCTCTGTATTTATTAGGGTTTCTATTACTGTGATGATACACCAGGACCAAAAGCAACTTAGGGAGGGAAGGGTTTATTTCACTTGCACTTCTAGGTAACCGTCGATCACTGAGCATGACAGGAACCGGGAGGCAAAGCTGAAGTGTAGACCATGGAGGGGAGCTGCTTACTGGCTTGCTCCCTATGGCTTGTTCAGCCTGCTTTCTTATAGAACCCAGGACCAACAGTCCAGGAATAGCCCCACCCATGATGGGCTGGGCCCTCCCACATTAATTACCATTCAAGAACACATACCACAGGCTTTCCCACGGGTCAGTCGGGTGGGGGCATTTTCTCATTTGAGAGTCCCTTTTTTCAGATGACTCTAGTCTGTGTCAAATGACACAAAACTGGCCAGCACAGCCTCCTATGTGCATTTTTCATATGAACAACCTATTTTGTTCGGAGGCCCCGAGGAAGGAAAACTTTTATCACTTAATACTTTGAGAAGTTAAGAGATTTCATGTATACCTCACAATTTCTATACCGAGTTCTGCAAAGTTCCATTTTCCCCAAAACTTACCCTTCCTCATTCTTGATTTTTAGGAAATCAAGAGAGTGTGAAGGGGAAGGGTCCAAATGAGAACGTAGAAGGCAGTGAAGGGGGCTCATAAGGGGCTCCACATAAAGCTCTGAGAGTCATCTTTTGGGGGAGGAGACAGGGCCTCATGTAGCCCACGCTGCTCTCAAAATCTGTCCTTGAACTTCTGCTACTTCTACCTCCACTCCCAGGAACTGCGGTTACAGGTTTGCACCACAACATCTGGCTTGAGAATCAGCTTTGCCAGGTGTAGTGAGTGGCCCATGGCACTCGGGAGGCAGAGGCAGTCGAGTCTCTGTGAGTTCAGTACCGGCTGTCCTACTTAGTGAGTTCCAGGACAGCCAGGGCTGTATAGTGAGACCCTCTCTTCAAAAGAAAAGAAAAAGAAAGAAAGAAATGAGGACGTGGTAGTGCATGCTAGGGTTAAGGCCAGAGTCTCAGCTGTCTACAGAGTGAGTTCTAAGGTTGCCAGGACTGTTACCTGGAGAAACCCTGTGTCAGCAGTCTTCTTTGCTTTTGTTTTGCTTTGCTTTGAGATCAGGTCTCTCGCTGATCTCATGCATCTGGAGCTCGATATTGGCTGGCCGTCTCCAGGGACCCGCCTATCTGTCCACACTAGCTCTGGGGTTACCACTTGCATCGACACACATGGTTTTAACATAGGTGCTGGGGATCCCAACCCAGTCTTTATGATTGTACAGCAAATACTTTCATCTGACTGCACGTGGTGTCTCATGCCTATAACCCCGGCACTTAGGCTGAGGCAGGAGGATTGCCATGAGTTCAGGCACACTTGAGCTATAGAGAAAAAAGAATTTTCCTGAAAATAAGGGCAGATGAGATAGGCTATCTGCCTTGTTAATCATTTGAAACCTAATTTCCTTTTCCTTTTCTTTCTTTCTTTTTTTAATTCTAGAAAAAAAATTATTCTGCAGACTCCTGGCTAAAAGCCCCAAGTGCTTACTCTCTTATTGGTATATGTTAATATATTTGATTGTTGAATTCACAGAAAGTACCCTAAAGGCATTCACACAAGGCATGTCACAGCCAGCTGATAGGGAAGTAGGGTTGGGTAAGCCAAGCCTTGGGAAATTCCACAGAGCCTGAAGATAAAATGTCTTGTCTCTGTTTGGCAGAGTGTAACTCCTGGAGTGTCACAAAGGCTGGAATGATATTTAAATCTGTTGCAGGGGTGTGTCTCTACAGGACACACACACTTTTTTGTTTTGTTCTGTTTGGGCTTTTTCCCCCTTACATCTTCAAGAGATCCTCTTCTTCCTGCTGTGAAATGTACTGTAGTTCTCACATTCTTAGCCCCTCTGGTCTGAAGGTAACTTCCAAGTGATAACCCGAGCCCGCCCTGGGCCCTTGCAGCTGCCTCAGTCACAGCCACAGCCTTCCTCAGAACCAGTCCCATCAACTGATTGCCTAAATTTCCTCTACAACCAGATGCCTTTGCTCATTCTCCCTGCCCCAGGCTAGCCTTGAACTGCTGCCCCAGGTTATCTGTGGCTTCCCAAGGATCTGGATTCTAATCCTACTCCACCAGACCAGTTTGGTTTTTTGTGGTGGTGGGTGGTGGTGGTGGTGGTGGTGGTGGTGGTGGTGGTGGTGGTGGTGGTGGTGGTGGTGGTGGTGGTGGTGGGTGTGTGTGTGTGTGTGTGTGTGTGTTTGGCTTTGTTTTGTTTTGATTTTACAAGACAGGATTTCTCGATGGGGCATTAGTGGCACATGCATTTAATCCCAGCATTCGGGAGGCAGAGAGGCAGGGGGATCTCTGAGTTCAAGCCAGCCTGGTCTACTGAGAGGGAGTTCCAGGACAGGCTCCAAAACAATACAGAGAAACCCTGTCTCGAAAAACAAAAAACAAACAAACAAAAAATGAGACAGGATTCCTCTGTGTAACTGCCTGGTTGTCCTGGAACTCTGTAGATCAAGGTGACCTCCAACTCACAGGCCTGCCTCTGCCTCTGAGTGCTGGGATTAAAGGTGTGCACCACCACTACCTGACCAGACCAGTACTTTTCTTCTTTTATCTTTTTTAAAGCTTTATTTATTTATTATGTACACAGTGTATGTTTGCCTGCAAGCCAGAAAAGGTCACCAGATCTCATTATAGATGATTGTGAGCTACCATGTGTTTGCTGGGAATTGAATTCAGGACCTCTGGAAGCAATTAACTGATGAGCTATCTCTTCAGTCCCACAGATCAGTATTTCTCTGATGAGCTATCTCTCCAGCCTCACAGACCAGTATTTCTAAGGCTCCCAAGTAACTCAGAGTTTTTAGGTTTTGCTGTTTGTGATGTGGGGGTGTTTTGGTTTGGTTTTTGGTTTTGTTGCGAGATAAGGTCACCACATTCCCAGTCTTGCCTCCAGCTGGATCCTTTTGCCTCAGAAGGCAGCCCACTCATTCTTTAGGAGTGGTCTACCTTGTTTAGTTTATTTTGTTTATGGTTTTCATATAATTCTCTGTATGTACCATATCACTGAAAGGACCAGACTCTCACCAAGAGAGTCTGGCTGGAGGAACCCAGTTAACATAGTTAACTCCGTAATAAAAGACACTTTGCTTTTGCATTCGATCGGGTCTCTTGGTGATTTTGAGGTTCAGAATTTGGACACAACATCACCTGTGTGAAAATCAGGGAAAGCTCAAAATAGCCAATTCTCCCCGTCTTCCAAGTTGATCCAACTCTTCATTAGGCCTGGTGGCAAGCACCTTTATGTAGGGAGCCATCTTATTTGGGCCCCCTGGTGAGCTTCCAGGAACCATCTGCCTCCACTTTCTCAGAACTGGGATTACAAAGTGTATATCCCCATGTATACATAGCTTTTAAAAAAAAATGGATTCCCAGCAGAGGCAGGCAGATCTCTGTGAGTTCAAGGCCAGCCTAGTCTACAGAGCTAGTTCCAGGACAGCTCCATAGCTATCCAGGGAAACCTTTGCTCAAAACCAACCAGCCAAACAAAAAACAACAACCCTAAACTTTTATTTTGCCTAAGATAGGGGGTCTCACTGATCCAGGCTTGCTGTGTAGCTGAGGAGTGACCTTGAACACCCAATCCTCCTGCTTTCGCTTCCCATGTGCTGAAAACAGAAACCTGTGCTGCCACACCCATCCTCTTGGATCTCACTGTGTTGCCCTGGCTGGTCTGGAATTGATTGTGTAAGAGAATGACCTCAAACTCAGGATTCCTCCATTCCTTACCTCTAGCGTGCTGAGCTTACAGGTGTAATAGGATACTGAGATCACAGGTACAGGCACAGCCCACGTTTAATCCTAGTGCTTAAGTCAGAAGCTAGCAAAGATGGGAAGGAAGCCTTATTCTTGTGAAATGAAAGGGAAAGCCTCTGCGGTTGCAGGTTTTGTTCCTGCTTATTTACGGTAGAACCTAACACAACGCGTAGACCTAGGACCAAAGGTGAGCCTGACAGTTGTGGCTCAGAACAGTCTTGGATTTGTACTTTGGCAGAGTGTAAATTCCTCTGTGAAGGATGAGAAACCTAGCCATGGCAGTACATACCTTTAATCTCAACATTCAGGAGGCAGAAAGAGCTCTGTGAGTTCAAAGCTATCCTGGTCTTCTTCTTTTTTTTTTTTTTTTTTTTTTAAGATTTATTTCCTTATTATATGTACAGTGTTCCGCCTGCAGACCAGAAGAGGGCATCAGATCTCATTACAGGTGGTTGTGAGCCACGATGTGGTTGCTGGGAATTGAACTCAAGACCTCTAGAAGAGCAGCCAGTGCTCTTAACCACTGAGCCATTCCTCAAGCTCTGCCATCCTGGTCTTTATAGTGAGTTCCAAGCTGCAGTTTATTTTGTTTCTCCTACTTAGAACACCCCCCCCCCTCCAGCACCAAGCTGGGTCCAAGCCTTAACGCTTGACCTCTGCAAGACCAGTGCTGTGGGTGGAGTGTCCTGCCAGACCTTGACTTCTGCCTCTGCTGTCAGTTTTCCTCTTTCCCAGAACCAGAAATATTGAGCCAAAAAAGTTATATAGATGTGGTTGATGTGAGTGGATTTGACCCGAGTATGATGTGGCAACATTAGGGTTTATTTATTTTGGTTTTATGAAACAAGGTCTTTCTTTATAGCCCATTCTGACCCCAGAACCCAGGGGGGCCCCTCTCCCAGAGTCTCCCAGGTGCTGGGATTACAGGTATGAGTCACCACTCCCAGCTTTCTTTTAGTTTTTATTTGAAATATATTAGTACAGGATAATTAGGGCTAGCAAGAATTGTTTTAAATGCATAATAATTTTTTAAAGTCAGATAGCTCATTGTAATTAAGAGCTTAATAACCTTCATTAGTGATTATTAATGAGACCAACAAATGATAAACCCACCACTCATTAAAGGAACACACAGGAACAGGAAGTAGCTCAGCTAGGCAGTTTTTGTAAAGAGGGTGCTTTGGCAGCTAACAGCACACCAGGCCAAGACTCCTGTCTTATCCCTATGGTAGGTGGCCACTGCCTCTCATAACATTGGTGGGAACTCAACTTCACCAGCAGCCAGGATTGGCTAACCACCCTTGCCTGAAGTTTCTTGTGTATTGAACTCAAAACGTTCAGCTGCAGAGCATTTACTGAGGATATTTGAAGCCTTGCATTTGATCCTTAACCTGGAAGGAAGAGCGTGGGGTGGGGAGAAGGAAGGGGGGGAGTAGGGGAGAGGTGGGGAGGAGGGAGGGGGAGTGGGGAAGAGAGAGTGGGAGGAGGGAGGGAGGGGTGTAGGGAAGTGCCTCTTAACTCCTGACACACTTGCTTTCACATAACCCCTACTTCCAGTTGTCTGGAAACAGGCATTTGAATGGGAGGATCTGGCTGGAGGCTGTCATTACAGAGTGAGATGTATTTTGGGTTTTATGTGGCAAGTTCTCTTGTAGCCTCATATATTTGTAGAATCTGGCCTTGAATTCCTGATACCCCTGCCTCTGCCTCCACTCTAGGATTAATTACAGGTGTGTACCACTACACTCAACCTAATTTGTAACTATAATTAAAAGTCTATCCAAAACATAAGACACAAAGTGTTAGGATTTCAAAAATCACGAGATACTTTATTCAAAACAAATCTGTGCCCAGTGTCTGCAGCGTAGGTCAGTGGACAGCACTTGCGTGGTGTGCACAAGCCCCCAGGTTCAGTCCCCAGCACTGAAGTAACAAATCATGCTACAATAGCCAAGCAGTGGTGGCACTCACCTTTAATGCCAGCATCGGGAAGCAGAGGCAGTCAGATCTCTGAGTTCAAGACCAGTCTGGTCTACAGAGAATTCCAGGATACTCAGAGCTGCACAAAGAAATCTGTCTCAAAAATAAATAACAAATGAACAAATAAACAATGCTATAACCTACAAACCCTAGAAGTGTGAGTCACCCTCAGTGGGCTAGCCAGCCAGGGGGAGGACTATTATAGCACCGTACCATGCAATGCAACAAAATATGGCTGGGCACCTTCAGACTCTGGGAAGGAGTAGCTGTATGTATATAGAAGTGACACTGAGTCTTGAAGGAACAGCATTTGCAAGACAGAAGGACAAACATGTGATATGGTTGGAGGGATCCTCATTTATGATGCCACAGTTCTCAGAGCAGTTTGAGTTCCCTGAAGGATAAAGGATGTGTCACGGAATACACGGAGAGGAGGCTGGGTGGGTATTGACCTGCCCAGGAGGGTCGTCTGGAATGTACTGAACACTTGCAGTGATATTCAAGGGCGACTGGGAATTCTGAAAGAATTTTGAATAGGGGAGTTCAGGGAGATACAGATTTAGAATAATTACTTTTTATTAGTTGGGATATTGGCAGCCTCACAAAGCCTGGATTAGAATGTGGGAACGGAACCAATTAAGAAGATAATGGGATTGTTAAGAAGAGCGATGGTGAAGACTGCCAGGCACCCACAGTGGGGCACAGTGAGATGGACGGGTGCTGCCTGTGCCTTGGCAGTTTTAAGGGACACTGACTGTGTAAGCTTGTTGGGCAGTGGTTAATAGCAATGGCTTTGTTCATAGAGTCACTTTTCCGTGAGCACCTGTGAATATATGCTGCTCCATATTTAAAATGTTCTAATCTTTTGGGTTTTGTTAATGAAGGCATTTGGGGTATTACATCAGTTTTTCCCATCCTCTGAACAGATTCTTTGGACCCAAAGCCGAAATGCAGGTGGAAAAAGGATCTCTGAAAACAGCTGTTCCTTGGATGACTTGGAAATAGGTCCTGGTGAGTAAGCAGAAAGCATGAAATCCTCTGAAAAGCTACTCAGTCAGAGTGAAACTTTTGCACTCAGATCCTGTGCTTCTAAGGGAAGAATGGCATGAACACAGGGAAAGTCTGTGTGTCAGCTACCAGCTGCTCCCAACCATTCTGCTCTCCATTAGCTTTCCTGGTTTTTATTTTTGTCTTTTCAGACAAAGTCTAACCAGGATAGCCTAGTTGACCTTGTACTTTTGATCCTCTAGTCTGATTCCCCAGTCCTCCACTGCAGACTTGAGCACAGTATGCCTAGGGTGCTTCCTTTGTATTTTTAATCCATCCTTGGGTACCCCTGAGTAGCAACAGGTGAAGTGCTATAGACACTTGGACTCCACTGTTATTGTGAACTGGGGGACTTCAATAGATGGACTGAATCCCTGGTCAAGATTCAAGGTTGGTTATCCCAGAGCTGGCAGTGTAGCTTAGTATAAATACAACAAAAAAATTTTGTTTGGTTCAGAGCACAAAAAAATAAGTGAATAAAAATATTCAAATTGTATGTGTGTGTGTGTGTGTGTGTGTGAGTGTATGTGTATGAGTGTATATGTGTGTATAAAATGTACATTTATGGTAAAGGTACTCTTAGGAGTGAATTAAAATTACCTTATAAAAGACAAATATATTTCTGATTTTCTTTGTATATGTGTGTGCTTTTGGTGGTTATTGTTTTTTTGGGGGGGTTGTTTGTTTGTCTTTTGGATTTTTTTTGTTTTTGTTTTTTTTTTTGTTTTTGTTTTTGTTTTGTTTTTTTTTGTTTGTTTGTTTTGTTTTGAAACGGGGTCTTACTCTGTAGCCCAGGTTGTCCTTGAATGTGTGGCACTCCTGCCTCAGCCTCCTCAGTGCTGGGACTACAGACAAGAACTACACCTGACCTTTCTTGTACTTCTAATAGAAAAAGTTATGCATTAGATTACAGTCACCCAGGCTTTAGAATCCCCCTTTATCCTCTAACAGCATGTTATTTGCACATTTCCAGGTCATTTGTCATCTTCTGCATTCAATTCTGAGAAGAATGATAGTAAGCGGAGCCTGGAGCTCCCACGCCTCTCAGAAACCTCCATCAAGGATCGAATGGCCAAATACCAGGCTGCTGTGTCCAAGCAGAGCAGCTCAACCAGCTACACAGTATGTGCCCTGCACTGCTTCGTGTGTTGTTTGGTTTGGTGGTTTTTGTTTTTGTTTTTGAAGCAGGGTTTCTCTATTTAGCCTTGGCTGCCCTGGAACTCATTCTGTATATCAGGCTGGCCTCAAACTCACTGAGAACCGCCTATCTCTGCCTCCCTGAGTGCTAGGATTTAAGGTGTGTACCTGCACCATTCTTACTTGCTTCTCCAGACAGCCATCATGAGAGCTGTCTCCTGGGCTCTGCCCCCTTACCCTGGCCTGACCCCTTTCATAAGTCCCTCCTCCCTTTGTTAGCGTACATTTTCTGGTCTTGATTTTGCTCCCCCAGCTTATGCATACATATTCATACCTCACTCATTTTCTGTGATGTTACCAGCTGAGATACCAAGACGAAAGGTCTACTGAACTTCTTCATTGTCGCTGATAAAGAATTGGTATTTTATTAGCTTAATAGGAACAAAGTCTATTCTGAGTTTTTTTGGGTTTTGGGGTGGGTGCTTAGGGTTGAGCTCAGGCCTCTGCATATGCTAGGTAAGCTTTCTACATTGGGTTTACATGTTCAACCTTTATTTCCTTTTTCAAGAGAATCATGGGAAATATAAAAAAACATTAAGCACATTGAACATTAATGTGTTTTTTTACGTTTTGCATTGAACTATTGCTCACATACCATAAAACCACCATTTTGTTGAAGAACATGCTGGCTGAAGATGTATCTTAATGGTTGAGCTTTTGCCTAGCTAGCTTGAGACCCACTTGGAAAAACAGACCAAGTACACATTTAGGTGATTTTTTTTTTCTTTAGTTTATTTACAAGATCGTATAACCATAACTGTCTTAACCCTTTCTGTCATCCTTCAAATAATTCCATATCTGTATAGTCATCCACTGAAGCACTTACATGCTTTCCATCTATGACTCTGCTTGTCCTGGACATTTCATTAAAAGGAATTCTGGGAGAAGCTAGGGGTGTGGCTCCATGGCACAACATTTGCCCAGCATGCCTGAGGCTCTTAATTGAATTCCCAATATAAGAGGAGCTCTATAAGATCTTCTCAATCTCTAACCTGCATGATGTCATAATTTCCTGCAGAGTAAGAATAGTGTGTTAGAAAAGAGGGGGTGTGGAATGATGGGAAGATGACATACTTGATGAATGAAAGCATTTGTTATTCTACACACACGCACATGCACACACGCACACACAGTACTAAGAATTAACAGAATTAAACCAGAATGTCACATATGCTGGGTAAACATGCAACCACACCCCCAGCCCAAAAACCTGTCCTTTTTTTGTTGTTGTTTTGAGACAGGGTTTCACCATGCAATCTTGGTTATCTTAGAACTCGCTCTGTAGACCAGGCTGGCCTGGAATTCATAGAAATCTGCCTACCTGTGTCTCCTTAGTGCCGGGACCAAAGGTGTGCGCCACCATGCCCGGTTGAGATAAGATTTTACTCTGTAACCTAGTCGTAAAGTCACAGGGCTCATCTTGCCTGAGTACTCAGGAGACAGGAGCACAGGATATCATCACATCCTTTTTTTGTCTGTCTGCTGGAAACTGAACCCTCACGCATGCTGGAGAAGTACAGTACCAGTAAGGGGCATCCCTAGCCCAGCTTCTCATAAAAGAGGCTGCATAAATCTGTTCCTTCTGTGACTATTCATGGCCAAAGTTCTTAACAATGTTGGGAGAATAATATTGTTTTATTTGTTCCTGGGCAGATCGAAAACTGTGCAGATTCAAGATCATAGTGTGTGTTCCAGAAGTTAAAACATTTCCCCCACATAATTGTGCATTACCCAGTAGTCCTGCTGATAGAGCTATTCTCTCTTTCCCTCCCTCTCTCTTCCCTCCCCCTTCTCTCTTCTCTCCCTCTCTGTCTCTTTGTCTCTTTCCAGTCCTGAGGATTGAAATCACACCTTTTACACATGCTAGACACGTGCTCAACCACTGAGCTACACCCTCATCCCTTACTCCAATTTTTCACAGTAGTTTTAACGAGAGACAATGTGCATAAATCAATAGAGTGAAATGCACAGAGTTTACAGAGTGTGAAAACCAAGCAGAATGAAACTTCCTCAGAGTGTAGATCCGGAGATGTGGGAGATGGGTGAGGGGCAAAGCTTACTGCTTGCCTGTTACTGGAGGTATCTGTCTGTCTGTGTAAACATTCCTCCCAGATGACTCCTGTAGCTGGGAAAACCTGTTCAGTGACCTTGTTTTTTGTTTTTTTTTTTTTAATTTAGCACAATAGAAAGAGCCTCAGGCCTGGCCCTGACAAAGCATCATCCTGCTGGCTGGTTTTTTTTTTTTTTTTTTTTTTTTTTTTTTGCTCTTCATTTGGAAATAGTCTGGTGTATCCCAGATTGGCCTCAAACTGCCAGTGTAGCCAAGGCTGGTCTTGAACTCCTGATCCTCTTAAGAGCCAGAGTTACAATGCCACCACACATGGTTCCACTTGGAGCTGGGACTAGAAGAACCCAGGGCTTTATGCCTGCTAAGCCAGCTGTGCCAATTGAACTACATCCTTAGCTCAAACAAAAGCAAACCAAATCTCAAGGGGTATAGCAATACAGGATGGCTGAAGTTGAAGTTCCAGGACTGCCAGGCTATAGAGATCCTATCTCTAAATGAATTCTCCTAGTAGAGTTTCTTCCTTAAAGTTCTGCTCTGGAGGCTTCAAGAGTTGAGAAGTCTGTAGAAATTCTTGTGAAAAGTACGTTTTACCTCACCCTCAAAGAATGTCTGAAATCCCTTACAGAACACAATCAGTGGTAACGGGGCACATCCTGGATAGTAGCTTAGGGGAGCTCACAGATAGACAGCAATAGATACTTACTGGGTGTCATGGCGCATTCTGCCATGCTGGCGGCCATTTCCTCCTAGTAGGAGCACTTGCAGACCAGAGACTGCCCACTCTGAAGCCACTGGCCCGAGCGGATCCGCCACACTCAACTTCTATTAGCCTTAGATGGCTTGTTTCTCCCCAAGACTGGAGAATGGCCTAGAGGGACTGGGAGTGTGACTGAGCTAGCAGACAGCTTCCTGATGCAGTCTTGAATTTAACCACCAGTGCCATTCATGGGGTGTGGTGACAAATACCTGCTGCTACAGCCTTTGAGAGGTGAAGGCAGCAGTGGGATCGAAAGCTTAAGGCTGTCCTTGGCTACACAGAGTTTGAAGCCAGCCTGGACTACATGAGAGCCTGTCAGAAGAGGGGGGTGGTCTTAGGAAAGAGAACACAGTAAAGATAGGAAACATCCATCTTCCTCTCCCCCTCTGTTGGTTTTAGATCTAGTAGATGAGTTCATTTTATTTCTACTCCCAGTAGCCTTTACAAGGAAGTAAGATAGGATTATTCTCTTCTGTCCTTATGGCAATGCTAACTCATGGCTTGTTTGTTTGCTTTCTTTTTAATGTTGGGGCTGGGTTATGAAATATAGATTAAGCTATATCTTTATGAATTTTATGTGAAAAAACTTTTTTTTGAAAGTTCCATAGGAAAAGATTGTTTATGGTATCATCCAGTGTAATTTCGGTTTTTATATGTGTCCATCATCCTGTCTTCCTTTCCAGGCCGGGCATTTTTATGTATGGTCAGTATATTTTCTTAATTGTTGGCACTTGGCATCTCCTTTCCCTGCTCCAAAATGGTCTTTTCTGTAAACTCACAAGCTTTGCATTTTCACAAGCTGTGCTGCTAGAAGAGTGAGTCACAGAATGCGGTGTGCTGGGGGTGGCCTGTGTGTATCCATGCTGATGAGTCTGTATTCCTAATGAGCATCCACTTTGAGACAGGCACACAGATATTTAACTGGGAGATGTGTGTCCACACAGCTGCTTATGTCATTTCACTAGTCGATGGGTTTTGCTTGTGACAGGGGGTTGATGAGTTCTGAGAGAAGAGTTGTGTGTTTTTCTTTCTCTCTCTTTTTTTAAACATTCCAAGTTTATTTGAAAGATGTGCTGTGAAGAGAGTGGAATGGTAAGTATTTCAAGTTCACAGGTTAATTTTGTTTTGTAGAATGAGTTGAAAGCCAGTGGTAGTGAGATCAAAACTCATAAACTGGAACAAAAGGAAAATGTGCCCCCGGGTCCCGAGGTCTGCATCTCCCATCAGGAAGGAAAAAAGGTAGGTTGAAAGTCGATGTCCAGTTGCCAAGGAAGCATGTGTTCCAAACGAGGTGCTTAAAATTAGAAAGGATTCTGCCTCTCGGCTGCAGCGTCTAGGAATTTGGTGGCAGCTGCCAGGGCAGATTGTCATTTTTGCAGGTCACATAATTTCAGTTCAGAGGCATTGTAATTTATAGCTGACCAAAGATGAGTCTTCATTGGAAAATTCTTTTGTTCAGCAAATGCTCGGAAGGCGTAAAACTAAAGTCATTTGTAAAATATGCTTATCACAGATAAAATTTTTATCTTTAAAAATTCTTTTAAGGTTTTGCTGTGTGTGTATAAATGTTCTGCCTGAATGCATGTATGTCACTGCGTATGTGACTGGTGCCCGCAGAGTCAGAAGAGGGTGTCGGATTCCCTAGAACTTGAGTTACAGATAGTTGTGAGCCACTGTGCTGTTGCTGGGAATTGAACCCAGATTCTCTGCAAGAGCTGCAAAAGCTCTAAACTGCTGAGCCATTCCTCCAGCCCCAAAATACTGTCTTGAAATAATTCACAATATCCTTCCTAAATATAAGCCTATTTTAAGATTTTCTTTCGTTTAGTTGTTTTGTCTTAATTTTATTTTGAGATGAAGGTCTCACCTTTGTGTCCCAGGCCCACCTTGAACTTGTACATTCAAGCAGTCCTCCTGCCTCAGCCTCTTAAATAACTGAGGCTGCCAGCTCATGACACCACTCTGGCTTAAGACAGTTATGTTTTTCCTTTTTTTGGTTAAAAAAAAATTGTTATTCTTTTACCTGAGGTGGTTTATTTGGTTTTGGTTTTGCTATGCACACACTAGACCAGTGTACTACCACTAAGTTACCTCTCCAACCCTCAAAACATTTTAGCGTCCTAGGTAGTATGTTAAGCATAGGAAATGCTAAGAAACTAAAGGCTGGGCCAACAAGATGGCTGTCCAGGAAAAGGCACTTGCAGGCAAAGCTGAGGCCCTGAGCTCAGTCTACAGGTCTCACATGGTGGAGTGAGAGAGCCAACAACTCCTGCAAGCTGTCCTCTGAATTCTACATGTGTGCCGTGGTATGTCCTCACCCCCACACATATAATAATTACTTAATTACTATAATTGGGGGAGTAAACAATACCAACAATTGCAGAACAATGCGGGAGGCAAAAGCAACAGGGTCATGAGGTTAAGGCCAGTGTGGTGGTGACATAGCATGAGGCCAGCGTGATGATGTAGGAAGTCTGAGGCCAGCAAGACCCTGTTTGAAAACAAAGAAAAACACCACACACGTTCATTCTCATTCATAGCCATCCTCGCTCCCTCCATATTCCTCATCTCCTTGTTTCTTTCCCATGTGGCCTTCATGTGCAAGAAAGCACAGAAACCATTGCCTCCTAACATGCTAGCTGCCAAAAACCATGATGGTGGGTACCATGAAAAAGTGGGGCCATGTGAGTTCAGAACTAGTGTGCCTGCCTTCTTTAGGAAGATGGTGTCTGAGCCCAGGCAGGGATGGGCCAAGTGAGTGGAGAATAGACAGACAGGAAGGTATAGCAGAGTGCAGAAACCTGAGATCAGCTTCGTAGGAGTTGCTGTTTGATTTGGCAAGGTAGTGGTAGTAAATGGGCGGTGCTGAGAGACAGGTAGAGGATCTGAAAGAGCCTTCCAGAATGTCCTCAAGGGCTTCCATATAACCAGACATCTATGGGAAACCATGGAAAGAGTTCCAGAAAAATCACATTTGGGATTTGTGCCTTAATAGAGAGATGGACGGCTTAGTTACAGCAAGTAACACCTGTATGTAAACAGCATACTTGTCTATCATAGACTCATTATTATGGGCACTCACTGGCTGCTCTTCAGAAGATCTGGGTTCAATTCCCAGAACCCACATAGCAACTCAGGATTGTCTGTAACTAAAATTCCAGGGGCTCTTAACACCCTTTTCTGAGCCTCCATGCACACCAATTGTGCATACGATACACATACATACATGCATGCATGTAGACAAAGAACTCATACATACACAAATTTTTTAAAAATCTTAAATAATATTGATAAATTTTGTATATCCTTACGGCAGTAGACTCTTTTTTCTTTCTTCTTTTTTTTTTTTTTTTTTTTTGAGACAGGGTCTTACAGTGTAGACCAGGATGGCCTGAAACTCAGAGAGATCTGCCTGAATCTGCCTGTCCTTGCCTCTTGAACTCTTAAGTGCTGGAATTAAAAGTGTGGGTGAAAGCTGTTTTTCAAATATAACAAGTAAATGTGTTTGGAATTTTCCTTATAGTAAATAATTTTTTTTTTTAAAAAAATCCCAGCATTGGAATCCCCTCATTTTTACCTAAAGATTATAACTGAAGAAATACTCATCTGGAAAACGATGTTCACAGTGTCCCTAGTTCTGTTTTTGTGCTTTAGTTTTGATTGTCTTCATGCCGGTTTGATTTGAAATTAGAACTCCGGGCTGCACGGCAAGATCAGAACATTTTAATTACAGTGCAAAAGAGCACGAGTTGCAAGTGAATTATAAATCAGGGAGTGGGTGGGGAAGGAGGCGATAAAGATGGTAAATGCTTTTCAAGCACATCCTGCCAGTTTGTAGGCTTTTCAGCGCCTGGGCCCTCCTCTGGGCTGCCTGACTGCCTTCTGTTAACCAGTACCTAAGCTCTGTTTGAACTTTGGTCTGCTACAGAAAGATGTTAATGCTACAGAAACATTCTTTTAAAAAAACAAATATAACACACTAACACACACACACACACTTTTATTTATCCTTTGAGAATATAAGAGGGATCTGGATCCCCTAGAACATAACTTACAGGCAGTTGTGAGCCACCATGTGGGTGCTGGGAGTTGAGCCCAGATTCTCTACAGGAGCAGCCTGTGCTCCTAACTGTGGTAAAGTCTCTCCAGCCCCAAGGAAACTTTCTTGAAATGCCATGCTTTGTCAAGCTGTTGCTTTTCCTACAATGAGATGTCTGAGCATAGTCTCTGGTGCTCCTACCTGAAGTTCCTTCAGTGATGACATCTGTCCACCCATGTGCAGTTACATGAAGTCAGCATTGAGTATTCAAGGGGACCAGGTTAAAGAGGAGGGAAGAACATCCCAGGATGGATGCACCTACAGATTCATGAGAGTTGGGAGTCCTTGTTCAGTTTTGGTTTTTTAATGACAGGGTCTCAAATAGCACAGGCTAGCCTCTAATCTGTGTAAGCAAGGATGACCCCGAATTATTGGTCCCTCGTACTTCTATTTCTCGGGTGCTGAGACTGTAGACATGTGCCAACCAGCCAGCCGTGAAGGTCTTTTCATAACCAAGCACAATTTTCATTAGATGAAATATGTTGAGGCAATCGGCCCAATACCAGGCACCCAGATATAGTAAACAGTCAGTAAATGTCAACTATGATCATTCCAGTTTATTCTTTACCAAGGTAGAATTCCTGTAGTGAAAAGAGAGTAATGCTGGCATTCATGTGTGGTCAGCCGACAGCGTAGTCTCCATTGTAAATGCATTCGTTTCTTGAGACATCTTAATGTAGACACTTGGTATTGCCCATTAAATCCAGCGTCATTATTTTAGATATTGGTGATTTATACCAGAAAGGGCTCTGGCTGTATAGAGGAGGGAAAGAGGTAGTCCTTTTATTTAAATTTGATGGTTTCTGAGGAAAAGATACATACCTATGTTTAATATCTACTTCTCAGCCAGGAGATAGTAGTGCACGCCTTTACTCCCAGCACTCAGGAGGCAGAGACAGGCAGATCTCTGTGAGTTCAAGGCCAGCCTGGCCTACAAAGTGAGCTCTAGGACAGGCTTCAAAGGGATATAGGGAAACCCTGTCTTTAAAAACCAATAAAAGAGGGGGGTGGTTTTTGATTCACTGGGACTAGAGTTACAGATGATTGTGAGACACCATGTGGGTGCTGGGAATTGAACCTGGGTCATTCAACAGAGCAACAAATGCTTTTAACAGATAGAATAACTCTTCACCTGTGTCTCCTTTTTTTTTTCTTCTTCTTTTCTTTCTTTCTTTTTCTTTCTTTTTTTTTTTTTTTAACATTTATTTATATATTACATATAGTGTTCTGACTGCATGTATGCCTGCACACCAGAAGAGGGCACCAGATCTCATTACAGATGGTTGGGAGCCACCATGTGGTTGCTAGGAATTGAACTCAGGACCTCAGGAAGAGCAGGGAGTGCTCTTAACCTCTGAGCCATCTCTCCAGCACACCCTTTTCTTTCTTTCTTTCTAATTTTAATTTTTATCTTTATTTTTATTTATTTATTTATTTATTTATTTATTTATTTATTTATTTTGAGACAGGGTATACTGTAGCACAGGCTAACATCAAATTCACAATATAGCAAGGGATCATCTTCAACTCCTGATCCTCCTCCCTTTGCCTCCCAAGCCTCAACTTCTCCACCCCAAACACACACAGAGAAGACCAGGAAAACAAGAGTTATAACTCCTAGGATTAAACATGTTCCTTTCCCTCACTGTGAAGTGTACTTGGTGACAGTGGACATGTGAGGGGTTTGCTCCCGTTGACTTGGGGCGGGGTGGGTCAGGGCGGGGGTGTTGTTTGGCTTTTGCTTCCTGAGATATAGCCTGGAAGTTCTTTATGAGGGAGACGCTGCACACTTGCAGCGGAGTGCAGTCTGTTCTAGTGCTCCCCCAGTAATTGAGAGGCACGTTAATACCCTCGTAAAAGACATTTGCTGCCTCTTGTTTAAATGCTCAGCTGTTCTGAGCCGTTACTTCCCCTCAGGCAGCCAGTGACTAACTGGAGTCAGCAGGTTTTTATGGCATTGGCAGCAGTTTGCTCTTTTATTTTTAATGCACGTCTTAATCCCCTTTAATCTTTTCTTTTTTTTTTTTTTTTTTCTTGTAGGTTTTTGCAACTGAGAATAGTCTGGTGGCCCATTCTAGCCCCGCTGAAGATGATGCCTGTAAGCATTTGTTCTTAGCTCTGTGGTTTGGGGGGGGGGGGTGTCCCTGCTACTGTCTCTTGAGGAAGGGACACAACACACCCAGCCACAGAGCTCATTGAAGTTTCCCCTGGGTTTCCAGGACTGCTGCTTGAACACCCTTCATACTTTCATAGCTCAGGGAAAAGTTAAATTATATATGGTTAACATGGAACACAGGGTCTTTTTAATTTTTGAGATTTTATTTATTTTTATTTTAAGTGTATGGGTGTTTGCCTGAATGTTGTCTGTATATATTGTGCCTGTAATACCTATCACGACAATGGCATCAGATCCCTTGGGACTGGAGTTGCAGACAGGAGTTACCATGTGGGTGCTGGGAATTGAACCTGGGTCCTCTGAAAGAGCAGCCCGTGCTCTTAACTTCTGAGCTATCCCTCCAGCCCTAACTAAAAGAATAACTTTTAGCAACACTTCTCCCATTGAACTCAAACCTTTTGCACTAAACTCTTCCAGGTCTGAAGCTGTGTAAACTGATCTTGAAGTCTTACTTCAATAGTGGGTATTCAAGAAGGACTGTATTAATTATTGGGGAACATTTTAAAGGCCTGAAGTGTTAGATTTTGACGTAATAGTATCCTGTTTTGGAGTAATTGTAAGCCTGGTTTTTCAAAGATTTGGGTTTTACTTTTGCTTTCCCTATTTTTATTTATTTATTTATTGTTCTGACACAGTCTCACTATATACCTACCTACTGGCCTGGAATTTGCTGTATAGAAGAGACTGAACTCTCCTCCTACCTCTGCCTCCTAGGTGCTACAATTCGAGATGTGAGATGTGTGCAGCAATGTTTGGGATACTGTGACCACTGCTGATTTGCAGTGTACTGTTTGGGTTTTTCTTCCCTTCCCTTCCCTTCCCTTCCCTTCCCTTCCCTTCCCTTCCCTTCCCTTCCCTTTCTTTTCTTTTCTTTGAGACAAGGTTTATCTATGTAGCCCTGGCTGTCCCAGAGCTTCCTGAGTAGACCAGGCTGGCCTTGAACTCACAGAGATCTATCTACCTTCCTTTGCCTCCAAGTGGGGATTAAAGGCTTGTGCCACTTGGCCCAGCTCAGTGAGTTGTTCTCAAATATGTATAGATTTCTAGCTTCCCCCACAACAAATCTGGACACAGAAACTCTTAAAAGTGAGTCAGGATCATAAGTCAAGCAGATTTCTAATAAATTGGTTGAATTAAAGGATTTTTTGTTTGTTTGTTTGTTTTGTTTTTTAATTAGGTTTGCAATACATTTCTTCCTTCATTCCCCCCCCCCCAAAACAGACCATAACCTTTAGTGCTTTTCTACTTTGTTGACTCTAGGCTTTAAAAACATTTTGTTTTCATGTGGACTCAGACTAGCTTGCAGGAGTCTGTGCTTTCTTCACTTTGTGCTGGGGATTGAACTCAGGTCCTCAGGCTCAGTGGCAAGTGCTTTTACCTGTAGAGCTATCTTGCCAGCCCAACTCTAAGCCCAGGAATTTTGTTTAAATGGTCCCTTTGCAGCTGTATAAATGGCTTTTCTGTGTCTTCTGAATTTCATCATGAGGTACATAGACTGGCAAGAAATTAATTCATATGCTGTAACTTAAATAATTAGGAAGAAAATCTTTATGTGCTGTTTGCATTATTGATATCTGCCTTTAAAGTAATCCGGGAAAAGCAAGTGGGTCATAGTGGTGCACACCTTCAATCCCCGCTCTTGTGCGGATGAAGCAAAATAGATCTCTGTGAGTTTGAGGCCAGCCTGGTCTACTTAACAAATTCCAGGCCAACCAGAACAAAACCCTGTGTCTACATTTCTTTTTAAAAAATGGCCCACAAAGACCCAACACATATTCCTTCATTTTACCCCATCTTCAGCTGAAGCACACCAGAAGTTATTGAGAGTGCCAACTACCAAAACATCAAAATCTATACACACAGCCTTAAGAAATGGCAAACACTTCAGAGCATAATGTTACATTGGTGGTTTGGTCCCAGCTGTGTGCTGCAGAGTGAGAAAGTCCCTAAGGGACAGCCTGACTCCTGGGGAAGCCCGCACACTTTCAGTTTAGACCCTGTTCAACAGAACAGCATCTTCCTGGTGCTATAAGGACCAGTCCCCCGTGGGAAGTACCCATGCTTTGTTTTCTGAAAGAACCTTGTCCTGAGCTACTCTGAAATGCCTGACTTCTGTGACTCAATCAGGTAACTCCCAGCTGAAGAGTGAGGACCAGCAGCCTGTGCACCCTAAGCCACTAAGTCCTGACGCCAGAACTTCGAGTCTTCCAGAAAGTTCTCCTTCCAAAACAGTGAAGGTATGGTGGCATTTGCACTCTGAGTCTTAGATTCCTGTTTCCAGTTCCATGTTCAGAATTACTTGTTTGGGCTGTTCTAGACATAATGCCAGTGAGGGCATGCTGAAGAGTCGATTTCAGCCTGGGCGGTGGTGGAAGCAGGCAGAGACAGGCAGACCTCTGAGTTCAAGGCCAGCCTGATCTACAGAGTGAATTTCAGGACAGCCAGAGCTGTTAGACAGAGACACCCTGTCTCAAAAAAAAAAAAAAAAAAAAAAAAAAGATAGATAGTCACTTTCAGGGTTGGAGTGATGGCTCATTGGTTAAGAACACCTACTACTCTTCCAGGGGACCCAGGTTCAATTCCCAGTACCCACATGGTGGCTCATGACCATCTGTAATACCCTCTTCTAGCCTCCCGAAACACCAGGAATGCATGTGGTACACATATACACATGCAAGCAAACCAATCATACAAAGAACATTTTATATATACATATATATGTATATGTAATAAATATGTGTGTGTAATTATGTTCATAAATATATATGAGAGAGAGGATCACTTTTAGTCAGATATGGTAGCACATACTTGTAATCTCTCAAAAAGCAGGTAAGCCTGTCTCTCTAAGTTCAAGCCATCCAAGGCTCTTAGTTTGTTTGTCATGGTGGCTCACAGCTGTGGGAGGCTGAAGCAGGAAGACTGCTGTGAGTTCAAAGTGGAGACAAGACTTGCCATTAGTTTAAGGCAAACAAAACAATAATAAAAGGACGGGGGTGCGTACACACCTGCAGAGTTCACTTATTAGATAAGGTGCTTGTAGCACAGACTCCAGGACCTGAATTTGGCTCTCCTAGCACCCATGTAAAAAGCTGGACAGAGGAACCCAGCATTTAAAGGATAGACTAAGAGGACAGGGAGCAAAGAAGAACTGTTTAAATGAGGCAAATCCATGAGTGTGGTTTACGGAAAAAGAACAAAAGCTGAAGGAAGGAACCAGAGAACCAGAGAAGTCAAGTGCAAAAAAAAAAAAAAAAAAAAAAAACGAACTGAGAGGCTAGAGGTGTGGCTGAATGTTCGAGCACAGGGCTTGATTCCATGCCTGGCACCAAAGCAAATAAAAAAGGAAGGAGGAGCAGAGTCACAGAGTTGATGCCTGTGTTCTGCTTGAGTCTGTTCTAGATCTGCTGTCAGTGTTTAGCTTTCCAGGATCTGAAGGCCAACAAAGTGGCCAGTGCTACAGGTTGCCTTCCTCTCCACAACCCTGCCCATGTGTGTGAATGTTTGGGTTGTGGTTCCAGATCAAACACAGATTTTAAAAAAAGTGGTGGGGTAGGTGGCCAAAGAAATGGGTAAGAGCACATAACACTTGTGCACAGGACCAGAGTTCGAGTCTCATCATACACATTAGGCAGGTTACAGCTGCCCTTAATTCCATTTCCAAAGAGATCCAACACTTCTGGTGTCCTTGAACATCAGCACCTACATGCACCTCCACACACAAAAAAACACATACATGTAATTTTAAAAATAATAATAATTTTTTATTAAAAGAGGGGCTGGGCTCCTAGCTCAGTGGTAAAGTGCTTTCCTAACATGTGAGGACCCTAGATCCCATTCATGAGCTCTGCAAGAAAAAGTAGGGCAGAGTGATAAAGAAGACCAGGGCCCTAATTAGGGTTACTGTTGCTGTGATAAAACACCATGACCAAAGGCAAGTTGGGGAGGAAAGGGCTTATTTGACTTATGCCTCTACATCATAGTCCATCATTGAAGGAATCAGGGCAGGAACTTGGAGGCAGGAGCTGAAGCAGAGGCAGTGGAGGGGTGCTGCTTACTGGTTTGCTCATCGTGGCTTGCTCAGTCTACTTTCTTATAGAACACAGGACCATCAGCCTAGGGATGGCCCCACCCACAGTGTGCTGGGTCCTCCCCCATCAATCACTAATTAAGAAAATGCCCTGTAGGCTTGCCTACAGCCCAATCTTATGAAGACATTTTCTCCACTGAGGCACCCTCCTCTCAGATGACTCTAGCCTGTGTCAAATTGACACACAATTTGCCAGCACCATCAGTGAAATGGCTCACAGATAAACCACTTGACAAGCTGTTTAAGCCCACATGAAAGGAAAGAACTCCTGCAAACTGTCCTCTGGATTCCCACACTGTGTTGCACCAGAGAAAGGGAGAGAAGGAGAGAGAGAGAGAGAGAGAGAGAGAGAGAGAGAGAGAGAGAGAGAGAGAGAGAGAGAGAGAGACTTAAAAATCAATGAAGAAAAGGGTAGCAAAAACAGGCATATTGGTGCATGCTGAAGCTGAGGCAGGAGGATAGCAAATTCTAGGCTAGCCTGGACTATGCATTGAGGCTGACCCTATCTAAAAAAGAACAATGACTTAGTATATCAGACCTGGTTATGGATTCTATGTAACTGAAGAATCTGAAACCCTGGTTGATCCGAGAACAAACATGGGCACTGAGAACAGTTGCTTTGTCACCATGGCTCTGCTACTTTCCTTTGCCTGTTTGGCCAGATGACTTAGGGCTTGGTTGTGCTGACCGAATACTGGATTGCCATCCTCCAGGCCTTGAGCCAATGAGTGTTCTGTGAAAGAGCATCCCACAGGTGTTCCTGAGCTGGTCAGAGAGAAAATACATGGGTAGATCTCTCCGTGCTTACCTCAGACCTGTGTGGGCTCGTTTGCCCCTGGTCACTCAGCAGTGGCATTCACAGCCTGCCTTTATGCTCACACACCTCAGGACCTGAAACTCGGGTGAAGACTGGGGTATGCCACCTGGTTCCCTGTGTTTGTGAGTAGTCCGTCCAAAGCTGAAAAGATCCTGTACGGAGCCTGGCATGGAACCTAACTTCATCTCCACTTTCTTTAAGAGCTCTTTGTTTTCTCTCCCTCAAAGTGCCCCGAGAATCTCAAGCAAGGTAAATATGTCAGTAGCTGTGTGCAGAAAGGCCTGCCGGCATATCTGCTTTTGTAGCCCTGGACTGTGCAGTAGAAGTTATTCCTCTACTTTGGGAAATTACATGCAGCTAAGAATACATTTGTTCACTCAAAATAGATTTTTGAGTCCCACGCATCCTGAGAGGGGAAAGAGATCCATTCTTAGTGCCTGTTACTGAAAAATAGGGCATCCTAGGCAGGGAACTCAAATAATTTCAAAGTTTAAATTCCTAAGGTAAAAAACTGCAGGTGGCTGGAGAGATGGCTCAGAGCACTGGCTGTTCTTGCAAAGCATCTGAGTTCGACTCCCAGCCACCCACATGGTGGCTCACAACTGTCTGTAACTCCAGCTCCAGTGGATCCAGTGGCCTCTCTGTCCTCCTGGAGCACCAGGCACACATGCAGTGCATGTAATATACATGTAGACAAAACACTCATGCACACAGAAGCAAATAGTGTCAGGCACGGTGTATCACTTCTTTAATCCCAGCATGCTGGAGACAGAAGGAGGAGGGTTGTCTCTCTGGGTCTACAGAATGAGTTCCAAGACAGCCAAGTCCACATAGAGAGATCCTGTCTCAAATAATTGAACAGATATTTTTAAAATATATGTGTGAAGAAAGCAAGAACATTGCGGTATTTTGAACACTGGCCACTGAGCTTATTCTGTGAGGTGTGATGCTGATTAAGTTCAAGTTGCAAGTTCAGAACTGGGTGGGCTGGGACAAAGGTCAGACCTGTTCTACTTCAGGAAACTCTGGGGACTTTTAAAACATTTTATTATATCTTCATTTATTTTTATTGTATGTTTTACCTGCATGTATGTTTGCCATGTGTATTCCTGGTCCCTGTGAAGGTCATAAAAAGGCATTAGACCCCCTGGAACTGGAGTTGCAGGTGACTGTGAGCCACTGTTTGGTGCTGGGAATGGAACCTGAGTCCCCTGCTAGAATAGCCAGTACTCTTTACCCACTGAGCCAACTCTCCAGCCCCAACCCTGGGGATTTTTTGTTTGTTTTGAGGCAGTCTCTCTACATAGTTCTGGCTGTCCTGAAACTCACTCTGTAGACCAGGCCAGCCTTAAACTCACAGAGATCCACCTGCTTCTGCCTTCTGAGTGCTGGGACAGAAGGTATGTGCCAACCTTGGGGATTTTTAACAACTTCTCAAAAGTTGTTTGAGACAAGATTTCACTATTCAGCCCAGGTTGACCTCTATTCACTGCATAGTTCAGGTTAGCCCCAGTCTCGCCTCCCAAGTACAAAGATACAAGCATTTACCACCATGCCTGGCTTCTGGGGTCTCAGTTAAAAATGATAGGGTAGGGGAGAGAGTCCAAGATCCAGGAGGGAGGAAAAGGCAAGAGGATGTGACCAGCCCTGAAGGTCACCAACTTGTCCTCATTGTGCCAAGACAGCCCAGCCCCAGATTTCCTCTAGTGCTCCTGCTGATAGAGGTGGGAAGAAAGTGCCACATGATGCTTGCAGGACCTGTCTAGCTGTCCCCTGTGCACAGGGAGAAGAGGCTTTGTGGTTTCATTGTATGGTGTTGGGGGATGTGCAGCCTTGAGCATGATAAGCAAGCTCTTTCCACTGAGCTACCCTCCCCCCAGCCTGGTTTTATGCTCTTTCACAGAGCTATTAGAATTATGATCAAGGGTCACTAGACTCTTGTCACTGATTTCCCAGCATCCTCCCCCCACCTCCCATAGACAGTCTATTAGAGGCATTTCTATCTGGGGTCTGAATGGTCTTGAGAATGAGCTCACGGAGAGTTTTGCTCAAAAGAAGCTGCAGGCTACACAGAGCTGCCTCAACCGTTTACTGCGTGGTGAAGAATGTCAGTTTTATTACCTAGCTATTTTGCACAAACTGGAAGGAAGGAATGAATGGCATTTGTGGTATTCATCTGATGAATAGAGGTCTGGCATCGGTGCCGAATTTTTTTCCAATTTCATTATGTCTAAAGGCCTAGTTTTTCTGCCCATGGCCAGCTGCTTCCCTTTCTCCCTCATTCACAGACACACCGCTACTGGAGCCTTCATTAGACTGAAAAATATGTGTAAGGCAAAACGTTGAAAGACTATAGATGAAGCCATGTAGATTCATTGGAAACTAGCTTCAAGTAGATAGACGCCCATCAGCAGAAAGCCTGTAATATTCCTCATATGAGAAAGGCTGTATTGATTAATATTCATGTATGTGTTACCCCATGCATTCTAGAACATTGTGAAGATAATATCTACATGTTTTTAATCTGAAGTCAAGTGAAAACTACAGCTTGTTTCATGTGTGAGGGCTAGCATCTGGTCTTGTCTCCAAAGAGTTGCCTTTACTTGTGGAAACTGAACAACAGCCCTGCACAGTGTAGAAAACACTGTCCGTCTGAGTTAGGAGTTCCAGGATGTAATTCTAATTCTGTAACCTTGGTCAGGCATCTAACACCCCTCATGCTTCACTATCTACGTGTCAGAAAGGGGGTGGAGGGAAAGAAATGAAAAAAAAAAAAAAAAGTCCACTTAACTCAAAGGGAAAATGTATTGTAAAGATAAAGCATGTCTAACATTCCCATGTTGGCAGACTTCTGAACACGGCTGTGCCGAGTCTGAACCTACCATGGAGGCATGGGCAGGATGCATGCCAGGCGTCTGATAATAGGAGAGTTTTAGGCACTGACTGTGCTTCCTGTTGCCTGAATAGACATGGGGGAAATTACAGAAACATGGCTGAGAGCCCAGGACTGAGAATTAAAGGGAAGGCACAGCACAGCCACTGTGAGTTGGCATGTTACCACACTGGGAGCCTCTTCTGTTGTTTTTATGACAGTATAAGGTCCCTTGGGCAGCTGCTGCACAAACCTTAAATAATAGCAAGAGATTGGGAGACAGGAATAGAAGTAGCGGAAACCTGGTTAGTCTGGCCAACCAGAATTTGTGGAAGGTCAGTTGTTTGAGGCAGCAGCCTGTCAAGTTACTGTTGAGGAGGGTGACTTCAGTTTGGCTTCATTGAAGAGAGTGTGGGTCAGGTGTGGGAGGCAATAAAAGGCTGAAGAATTACTAGTGAGACACTCCTTGTGTGGGTGAAGTTTCATAAAAGCCTTCTCTCTCCTGAGGCTGAATGTGTCCCAGGTAGATCTGAGAGGAGCTGGGTTTTGCCTCCTATAACAGAGTTACTTGAAAGAGAATGTGGTCTTATACTTGGATCCGAGTCTGAGTTTCGGCTCAGCTGCAATCAAGTGCTCTAGGGCACACCAAATGTCGTGTATTCACTGAAGGTTCCTGTTCGTCTCTTCCAGCTTCTGCGTCCTGCTCCTGGCTCCTAATTTCTGCTCCTGCCTTCCACTTCCCTCCTAATGTGAGCAAAACCTTCACTGTCTCTCAGGTTCTCCCTTCTATCCCCTGGGCTGTATCCTTCCATGATGTGTTCTCTGTGTGCGTGCATGTGTGTGTGCACATGTGTGTGTGGTGAGTATGTGTATGTATGGTGAATGTGTGGTGTGTGTGTGTGGTATATGTGTGTGTGTATATATGTGGTGACTGTGTGTGGTGGTGTGTCTGTGTGTGTATGCATGGTGTGTGTGTGTGTGTGTGTGTGTGTGTGTGTGTGTTTCTGAGCTCTGTATCCTTTCCTCCTTGTTCTCCCAAATCTATTTCAGCTGTTAAAAATGCATGATCTGCTCTTTGCAACTGAAAAAGACTCTCAATCTGATAAACTCATTTATCCTATCACTTACACAGTTTGATTTATGGTTTGGACAGGTTCTCTCCAGTAGCTTCACTGGTGCCGTTACTCTCAAATTTTATCCTGCAATTTAATTTAGGTCATGCTAACTGAGCAAGAGAACACCTAATCCTTGTAGTGAAAAACCTTATTAAAAATGAGGCAGCAATATCTCCCTTTAAATCCAATCCTGTCAGAATGTCTGTAAAAGAAAAGAAAATCCTGTTCTTCAAATAACGCCTCAGTGACTGCCGGCAGCACTCACTGCAGTAACTTGGGTCACCTTTAAGCACCTCCCTGTGCCTGGTAAACTAAGTGAACCACTGGCCCTGTTCCACTTTTTCTTTTTAAAGCTCTGCCCCTACAGTGAAAGGGATTGCTGTTAACTAGCCACATCCACTCCAGTTTGTTCATATTCTTTTTTCTTTTTTTTTTTCCTTTTTTTTTTTAATCTGTTTTTAAGACTGACTTACTTTTTTAGGTATATGAGTGCTCTATTGACTTTATGCCTGAAGAAGGCACTAGATCTCATTATAAATGGTTGTGAGCCACCATGTGGGTGCTGGGAATTGAACTCAGGTCCTCTGGAAGAAAGAACAGCCAGTGCTCCTAACCTCATCTCTCCAGTGCCTCCCCCCTTTGTTTGTTGTTGTTGTTTTTGGTTTGTCTGGTAGCTTTGGAGCCTCTCCTGGAACTCACTCTGTAGACCAGGCTGGCCTCAAACTCACAGAGATCCGCCTGCCTCTGCCTCCTGAGTGCTGGGATTAAAGACGTGCGCCACCGCCACCACCACCGCCACCACCAAGCTTGCTCTTCTTAAATCCTTAGTCTGTTCTGCCTACCTATATCCTGGTCCTTTTGGGCTTAATTAAGTTCTGGTCCTGGGCTTAGGGATTCATTTGCATTATTTACCATTTTATTTTTTTCTGCTGAGAACCCAAGCTCATCAAAGCCCCACAGGGGGCACCTCCTTCCTCTATTGGCAGAGATGTCTGTCAACTCCATGACATCATACTCAGAGGAGCAACTTCTGGCCCTGCCACCCTCAGTAGCCACATAGGCATTTACAGCATGTAAATGCTCATAGTATGTGTTAGAATTCTGGCTTTTATCAATGCTACAGTAGCAAACGTGTGTGTGTGTGTGTGTGTGTGTGTGTGTGTGTGTGTGTGTGTGTGTGTGTGTTAGGGTCTCATGAAGTGTAGGCTTGCCTCAGACATGATGTGTAGCTGAGGATGATCTTGAACTTATGACTCTCCTGCTTCTGTCTCCCAAGTGCTGGGATTATAGGCATGTGCAACCTTGCCCAGTTTTATTCTGTGTTGAGCAATGAACCCAGAGTTTTGTACAAGCTAGGCAGACTCTACCAATTGAGCAAAATCCCCAGTCCCCAGCTCTCATGTTTTTAGAAAATGGAACAACACGACAGCTCTTAATCCACAGTTTGCAAGTATTTCATGAATTTGTAGTCATTAATTAGAACATTTCCCGGGACATTACTTCTATTCTCTGTTAGTTTTCAGACATGTTATAAGCAATACTTCCTTCTGGAATCCTAATAATGTAGTTTGTTTCTCTTACAAATTATTGCATCTGTGTGTCAATTTAGACTTGTTTAAAAAATATGCCTAACTTGGGGCTGGAGAGATGGTTTAGCAGGTGAAGGCACTTAATAACAACCCTAAGGACCTAAGTTCAATTCTCAGAACCCATATGGCAGAGGGGAAACCAAACTCCCCAGAGTTGTCTCTGGACCGCCACATATCCATTGTGATGTGTGCACATATACACTAATAAAATAAATAATAAATGTAAAAAAAGCTTTTTAAAATATGCAACAGTTAGATGCAGTAGTGTATACATATAATCTTGGTCCTTGGGAAGCAGAGGCAGAAGATAAAGTCATGCCTGGAACTGTGATGAGTTTGAAGGCCTCTTGGGCTACATACAAATCTGTCTTAAAAAGTAAAATTAAACTTGACCAGAGAGTAATAAAAGATGTTCTGCTGAAATTGGAATGCCTTTACCTAATTCCCAAAGCTTAATGTTTTTTCCCTGTCTTGAGTATTAGTGTCCCCCACCCTCCAGGTTGTTACAATGGTCTTCTTTTACTTGCCTCATGACTTGAACTTCTTTCTTGTGTTATGATTTTTATTTTCTCTTACTCCCTGCCCTTCTAACTACAGATCTCTATTCTTAATGTTTTCTGTAGAGGGGTGTGTGTGTGTGTGTGTGTGTGTGTGTGTGTGTGTGTGTGTGTGTTAGCTTGTCTACACCTTGCTCTGCAACCCAACCCAAACCCACCTGGCCTAGAAAGCTTCTACACTCAGGGCAGCCACACAGTTTGGTACAGAAATTCAAGAGAGCCTCCTAATTCAAACAAGTCAGCCGCTAGAACCTGAGCAGGTGTAGTGCCTATCAGAATGGCCCTTAGACTAACCCTACGCCTATCTCAGCAGAGTGCCCAGTCATTGCTGCAGATTGCTCAAATTGTCCTGCTTCCTTCTCTAGAAATTTCAGGCTCCTGCAAAAGAGAGCTGTGTGGGGTGTCAGAAGACAGTGTACCCCATGGAGCGTCTCCTGGCCAACCAGCAGGTGTTCCACATCAGCTGTTTCAGATGCTCCTACTGCAACAACAAACTTAGGTAAGTCAGTCCCAAACAGGCCCCCCCTGCATAGTGAGCGTTCAAAGGGACTCTGGCTTTTAGCATACTGGAACTAAAAGTGCTGATGGTACTCTGAGTGGAGTGAAAACCAGTTTAGTGACAACTCCTTCAAACAGGATGGTGATGGTGTGTGAGGACTGAAGCCTAAAATCCTACCAGCTGCTCATGAAGCCCCTCACCCATGATCCCATTTAGTAGAATGTCTTCTTGTGATATCTTAGAACCATAAACTTAAACCCTAAGGCATGGCCTGGGCCTGGATGGAATCCCAGCTACAGTGGGACATTGGGGCAGGAAAATCTCAAGTGAAACCATGTCTCAAAAAGGAAAAAGAGGGTCAAGGATGTAGTCCAGTGTAGAATGTCGAGCATATATAAATACCTGGGTTCTGTTCCCACACTGAAGAAAAGTGGGAGAAGAGACTCAAAACTACCAATGTGGAGAAATATTTGATAGTAATTAATTTCAAATTGCATCCTTTCAAAGGAGAAAATATCCAAGATGTTACTTTCTCCGTCTTTCCTTCCCAGGGAAGTGTCCTAGAACACTCTTGAAAGATGGACTTTGTACCTCAGCACAGCTAGACCTGGTGGTAGCTCTGTCTAGATAATGCTCTTTATATTGTACCAAAATCTGCCTCTGGGATCTCCACTCTTCAGTTCTTTTTCTGTCCACTGAATTAACTTTTTAAATTAATTTGTTTATTGGTGTTTCAAGACAGGGTTTCTCTATGTAGCTCTGGCTGCCCTGGAACTCACTCTGTAGACCAGGCTGGCCTCCAGCCTCCTGAGTGCTGGGATTAACGATGTACCCCACCACCAACCAGCTATGAATTAATTTTTTCAATAAAACATTTATCTCTTTTGGGGGATGCTGTCATTGCTGTGATCCTTTAATTTTTGTATGTATATGAGTGTTTTCTCTGCAGGTATGTGTGCACCACATGAATGCCTAGTATCTCCAAAGGCTAAAAGAGGGCATCAAACACCCTGGAACTGGAGTTACAAATGGTTGCAAACTGCCATGTGGCTGCTGGGTCCTCTGGAAGAGTAGCCAGTGCTTAACCTCCTAAGCCATCTTTTGAGCCCCTGTTGTGATTCTTTAAAAGCCATTACAGTGGGCAGAGCATAGTGGCACACCTTTAATTCCAGCACTCAAGAAGCAGAGGCTGACGGATCTCTGTGACTTCAAATCTAGCCTAGTCTACATAGTGTGAGATTCTATCTTCTTTAAAAAAAAAAAAAAAAAGTTAAAATGGGTAAGGCATATCTCCTGGCTCTTTCTCCTATCAGCCATAGCTTGCTTTTATGCAAAATATTTTATGCTAAATATTTGCAGTACATTGTATCCATTCTTACAGTATGTTAAGAGCAGGTTGTTCCCCTCCCCCCCACAACCTGGCCCCAGGCTGCACTAGCCCCAAATAACACACAGAGACATTGTATTAGATATAAATCTGTTAGCCTGTTACTAGCATTTCTTATTGGCTAGCTCTTTCTTAAATATTAACCCATTTCTATTAATCTAAGTATTTCCACATGGTCTCATCTTACCAGAGAGAGGGCCCAGATCTCTGTTCTCTCTCGTCTCTACATCTTGACTCTCCTCCCTACTACTTCCAGAATCCTCCTTGTTTTCTAGTCCCACCTATCTTCCTTTCCTATGGGCCAACAGTGCTTTATTCATTAACCAAGATGAGAAACATTACAGAATGACATCTCCCATCATTACAGAGCTGTGCTTTTAAAGTTAGCACAAGTGAGAAACTAGGAAGAACAAAACAGGAGTTACAGGTTACAAATACTAAGGAAACATATGAGTGATCAGAACCTAATCGGATTACCTAGGGAAGACTTACAGGAGAAGTAATTTTGAAACATTTTGACAGAGGAGAATGATATCATTTGGAAATGAGGAATTATATATCAGTAAGGTAAAAACAACTAGTAGTGGTACACACCTGTGATCTCAGCACTTGGGAGACTGAAGCAGAAGGATTTCAAGTTCAAGGCCAGCCTGGGCTATGTAGTGCATTCAGGCCCTCCCACACCCCCCCCAATAAATAAATAAATAAATAAATAAATAAATACTCTTAAAAGAGGGTAAGGTATGCTGGGAGTGGTGGCACACACTTTCAATCACAGCTCTTGGAAGACAGAGGCAGGTGGATCTCTTGAATTCACGGCCAACTTGGCCTACATAGTGAGTTCCAAAGACAGCCAGGGCTACACAGAGAAACCCTGTCTTGGACCAGGGCTGGAGAGGAGGGGGTATTATGATAGGTCATTTATGTGCTTTTAAAGATGTTTTCCTGGTATGTACAAGACCCTGTACATTCACAGCTATCCCCAAGATGGTGGTGGTGGGGGGCTAATCTCACCATTTGTTAAATACTGGAAATACTGGATGGAAGCCTACTGATAGAAATGAGAGATAACAGAAAATGCACTAACTTTATGTTTTCTCTCTTGGTGACAGTCTAGGAACATATGCATCTTTACATGGACAAATCTATTGTAAGCCTCACTTCAATCAACTCTTTAAGTCTAAAGGCAATTACGACGAAGGCTTCGGCCACAGACCACATAAGGATCTTTGGGCAAACAAAAGTGAAAATGAAGAAATCTTAGAGAGACCGGCCCAGACTCCAAATACAGGGGAGACCCCCCATAGCCCCAGGGTAGAAGATGCCCCCATTGCTAAGGTGGGTGTTCTGGCTGCAAATATGGAAGCTAAGGTCTCCTCTCAGAGGGAGAAGGAAGATAAGCCAGCTGAGACCAAGAAACTGAGGATTGCTTGGCCGCCCCCAGCTGAACTGGGCAGTTCAGGGAGTTCCATGGAGGAAGGGTTCAAGGTCTCTAAGCCCAAGTGGCCTCCTGAGGATGAAACTAGCAAGACGGAGGCTCCAGAGGATGTAGACCTGGACCTGAAGAAGCTGAGGCGATCTTCCTCGCTGAAGGAGAGGAGCCGCCCATTCACGGTAGCTGCTTCATTTCGAACCTCTTCCATCAAGAGCCCCAAGATGCTATCACCTGTCAGGAAAGGTTGGAGCATGTCTGAGCAGAATGAGGAGTTTGGAGGAGGGATAGTAATGGAAGGGAAACAAACGGAAAATGCCAAAGCCTCTGAGAAGAACGGGAATGTGGGGAAATCACGCTGGCAGAGCAAGGATTCCGCCAGGGAGGAAGTGGTGAGGAGGAGCAAGGACAGTCATGATTTTGAGCTGGAGAGTGAGAATTTCATAGAAAATGGAGCGAACATCGATGAAGATGATAGCAATGACCTCGTGCAGCAGTCTCCACTAGAACCCGAGTCTCCAAGTTGGTCCGGCTTTGTAGACACCACTCCTACAAAAGAGTTTACAACCCAGAATCAAAAATCTCAAGATGTGGGGTTCTGGGAGGGGGAAGTGGTCAGAGAGTTATCAGTGGAGGAACAGATAAAGAGAAACCGGTACTACGATGAGGATGAAGATGAAGAATAACAGGCCGCCATGGTGCTGGCCTTAAATTCCTGTCAGCACTAGTACTTACTGCCCTTTATCAAGTGGTGCCCAGAGACAGGCAGGGAGGTGCCAGCTGTCATTTATGTGGGTGCCACTTCGGAAAGGAATTCCTGCTACCAAAACAGAAAACAAACAAAAGAGAATCAATTCTAAGTGCGTTATTGGAACTCTATTTGAAACCTGGTGTGGTGGCACTTGGGAGGCAGAGACAGCGGATCTCTGAGTTCCAGGCCAGCCTGGTCTACAGAGTGAGTTCCAGGACAGCCAGGGATACACAGAGAAACCCTGTCTTGAAAAACAAAAAGAAAAAGTGCATTTTAACAGTGAAGATATGCATAAGGACTAACTAAGCAAGAAAGGCTTTCATTGGTATAGCTCAGTGTCCACTGCAGTCCCAAACGTCAATATTAAAGTGTCTAGACTGCCACATTTTTACACTACAAATACCACTGTGGAATTGGAGACAAACAACAGATTTAGGTGCCTACATATCATGACCAGAAGCACTTTAGTATAAAGGGCACAGTGTAGATATTTTTACCAATTTCATTTTTTAGTACTCAGCTGTTTAAATCAAATATTTAGTCTTTCAAATTTTTCTTATGCTTTTTATCCCTCTGGTAGATATGGGATCTTATTGCTCTGGGCCCTACACTTGGCATGTTTACTCATTGAGGTATAATACAACAACCTCTATCCCAGTGAGATGGCTCACTGAGTAAAGGCACTTGCTACACAAACCTGACCACCTGAGTTCGATCCCCAGCACCCACGTATCAAGATGAGAGAACCAATTCCACAAGGTTATCCTCTGACAGACATGCCCTGTGGCACATATGCCCATAAAAATAATAATAAACAATTAAAAAAAATAAGCCACTCTTCTGAGATACCTGTGAGAACAAAGAACCAACCTGTATGCTTTGGTGCTTGGAGAGGCCCACTGGAGCATTTGCCAGTGTGTTTATCTGGACTCTAGGTGATTGCTTCCTCTGTTTGGTGGCTTCTCACAATTTACAGAAAGCTTGCACTGTTTTTACAAGACCTTCTGGATCAGGGTTCACCATGCTATGGGCAAAACAAAATAAAGACTCTGAAGGAGGGAAAACAAAGAGGAACTGCCTAGGCTCCGATCTCCACAGCCACCCTGAGGCAAATCTTGTCAAAACCTATCAGCTCTGAAATGTATTGACTTTTGTGGCAGATATATCTCCAGGGGTTAAATTCAATCAGTTTTAGGTCTTTCTTCTTGGATGGTGTCCTAGCTTGATTCACTGTTGGTGTAATGAAACACTGAGCAGAAAGTGACTGAGAGGAAGAAGTTCATTTCCATCACAGGTCACACTGGTTGTCAAGGAAGTGAGGCAGGAACATGGCTCCTTGGCTCCTTCTCCATGGCTTACTCAGGTTGCTTTCTTATACAACCAGGGCTGCCTGCCAAGGTGTGGCTCTGCTCACAACAGTAACAACAAAAAGCTCTACAGACAATGCCCACAGACTAATCTGTTAGAGAGAGTTCCTCAATTGAGATCCCCAGGCAATCTCTTTGTCAAATTGGCAAAAACCAGCACAGGCGGTTTTCTCTAGCATTAAGACTTTAGAACATTATACACACACACAGGGATCACGTATGGGCAACGGGTGTTTTTAAGGTAGAGGCCTTTTTGCATTTGTAGAGATTTAGCTCTACTTTAGAGACGTAAAATAATGTTTCTTTATAGTCTTGGTTAGTCTAAAACATTTTTATTCAATAAAGCTTTTAATTTACATTTTAACTTTCCAACGTTCTTTTTTCCATTGTTTCCGTTGTTAGTCAGGGTCTCTTGGGACCTTCTTTTACTAGAGCAGTTTGAAGGGGAATGTGCTGGGAATTCATTTCACCACTAGATGGTGATGTTGAGCTGGCTTATGGCCTTTCATCTACCCTGAAGGAAGACAAAATTTTTTCTGGAAAATTGCAAGTAATTTGGCAAGAGAATTATTAGTATGTGCATGCAGAATGAGCTGTTTATTTTACCAATTCAAAGTCCAGTGGTGGTTTTACTACTTATTGTATTCAACATTTAGTAATTCACCTATTATACCTAACACAATTATACCTAACACAAAAAATAGACTTTCCCACCTTCTCTGCTGAAAATTCGTGTTTTTCACTCTGGGTGTAAGCATGCTTGGTTGTTGGTTTCTTCTGTAGAATCAACTTCCAAGCGTTTGCTGCTGTTGTTGGTCTGTTGTTTTATAATAGCCTGGAAAGCCAGATGTAGTGGTCCATATCTGTAATCCTAGGATTTAGGAAGCTGAGGCAGGAGAATTACTGTGAGTTGGAGGACAGCCTAAGCCACAAAGTAAGACCCTGACTCAGCAAAACAAAAGAAAACAAGCCTGGCCAAGTGTTGGTGGTGCATGCCTTGAATCCCAGCCCTCAGGAGGCAGAGGCAGACAAATCTCTGTGAGGTCTAGGCCAGCCTGGTCTACAGAGTGAGTTCCAGGACAGGCTCCAAAGCTACACAGAACCAGAAAAAATAAAACAAGAGCCTGAAGAGATGAGTCAGCATTTTAGAGCACTTGCTGTTCTTTGGAAGGGTACAGTTTGGTTCCCAGCACCCACACACTGGCTCACAACCAAGTTAAGTCCAGTTTAGAGAGCCCAACACCCTCTACTGACATCCACAGATATATAGGCAAGCAAAATATACACTTAAATGAAGATTTAAAAAGGAACAAGCTGGAGTGGCGACTCATATCTGTAATCCCAGCATGCAGAAGGCTAAGGCAGATGGGTGACCAGAAGTTCAAGGCCAGCTTGGACCACAAGGAAGACCCTATACAAAAAAATTAATTTTAGAAATTATGTTTAGTTTTCTATGATTAGGTTTCTTTGGAGATAATTTGTTATATGTGTTGTAATTTAAGAAGTGGTGCATGAGAAAGAAAGAGGATGTATGACAGCTCACACAGAGGGATTTTTTAATCAAGGGAAAGGGGATGGGAAAGGGGGGAGGGGAGACAAGTCTCTGGGGACAGGAGCAGAAGAGAAAAGGTGGTGGTGTGGGGGAGACTGAGAAGGGCAGGAAGAGAAAGGAACAGAGATGGGAGGTGGGCAGGGCCCTTTTGAAAGAGGACATAGTGAATGCGCACAGGTGGTACTCTTAGTGGCTGCAGCTGAAGGGCAGGCCAGTTCAGATGTCTGAATACTAACAATATCATCCTGTATCTTCTCTAGTCTGTTGTTTGTTTTTTTTCTTTTTCTTTTCTTTTTCAATACAGGATTTCTCTGTGTAGCTTTAGAGCCTGTCCTAGAACTCACTCTATAGACCAGGCTGGCCTCCAACTCACAAATATCTGCCTTGTAGCTTTAGAGCCTGTCCTAGAACTCACTCTATAGACCAGGCTGGCCTCCAACTCACAAATATCTGCCTGCCTCTGCTTCTCAAGTGCTCAGATTAAATAAAGGCATACACCACCATGCCTGGCTGAATTTTCATTTTTATATGTATGAGACTTTGCCTGTGTGTGTATCTGTGCATCACAAGAGTGGCTGATGCCCATGGAGGCCAGGAGAGGAAACTGATCCCTTACTGGAATTACTGATGGTGGTGATCTGTTATGTGGGTACTGGGAATTGAACTTGGATCTTCTGAAAGAACAGCCAATGCTCCCATAAGCCATCTCTCTAGCACAAATTATTTATTTTAAAACAATTCTTTGCTATACATATAATTTTACCCTTTATGAAAGAAGAAAGTAAATTTGCATACTAATTAAATGGATTTCTTATTTTCACATAAAGAATTAAATCTCAAATATTTGCAATTAAATCTTGTTTACTTTTAGATGTATTTATGTGTGTGACTGTTTGCTTGCATGCATATATATGCACCACCAATTGGGGCTTTTTACTGAGTCACTGGAGAGATGCTTTCCCTCCCCTTTCTCCCCTATGCTGAGAGAGAATTTCTGCAAGGTAAGTAGAGTCATCTAGAATTTAGAGGGTTATCTTGGTTAGAAGGGAACTCTCCAAAGCCAATACAAGATGCTTGTCACAGTCATGACTGGAGTGAGGTCACTTGAGCAGGTCATGGCCATAATCAACCAGGTTGCAATGGTCCTGGAAGCTAGAGTGCACTTCCTTCAAGGTGTCCACCAAGTATTCAGAGTAGCTAGGATGTCATGCTGACAGTTCAGCTGGCCATCAATAGATGGGTGGCTTGGTTAACAGCTCTTGGTTAAATCAAGGCAGGTAGGCACAAGTGGAGGTTCTGACAGCTGTCAATCAAAGGGTAAATTTGGCTGGTTCTCTAGTGTTCAGCTTATTTGCAGTAATTATTAAAGGGTATTTAAAATGAGGCCTATTATTAAAGCTATTTAACAAGGTTTAACTCCTAGCCAGACACTCTTGGGGAACATTAGATCCTTCTGATTTGTCTCCCTTCACCAGATGCTTTCTAATAAACTCAGTGAGGATGACACAAGCACCTTTGGGGAGGCATACCATCCTAGAACAAGACCAGTTCCTCTGTGCTCAACTGGCACATTTTCTGTTTTTTGGTGTTCTGATTTGAAATCCCATGGAATCAGAATCGTGTTTGTTCACTTCCTTTTGAAGTTGCTACAAACAGAATATTATTTTTGTTGTTGTTGTTGTTTTTGTTTTTCCACACAAGGTTTCTCTGTATTGCTTTGGAGCCTGTCCTGGAACTAGCTCTGTAGAGCAGGCTGGCCTGAAACTCACAGAGATCCACCAGCCTCTGCCTCCCGAGTGCTGGGACTAAAAGTTTACGACACCAGCACCTGGCTAACAGAATAATCTTGATGTCACACAATAGAACATAGGAACAAAGAAAAAGTAACTTGGCAAGGCAATTCCTTTCTGTAGAAATGTTACACAAGAACCCAAACAGGGCCTGGGCCTGGTGACGGGTGGTGGTGGCACATGCCTTTAATCCCAGCACTCAGGAGGCAGAGGCAGGTGGGTCTCTGTGAATCTGAGGCCAGCCTGATCTACAGAGTGAACTCCAGGACAGCTAGGGCTACACAGGGTTAGAGTTTCCCTAACCCTAACCCTTGTCTTGGAAACAAAACAACAAACAAAAAGAACCTAAAAGGGGCTTGCAAGCACCCTAGGACAGGACATTTCGCTTGGCTTTTATTCTTAATGCAGGTAGCAACTGTATCTTTTTCCCATTGGCTGGGGTCTGACCTCACAAGCTTTCAAGACTGACTAGTTTGTTTGTTTATTTATTTTAAGAATCAGCCTAAAGGAAATGAGGGAAAGTGAAAAAGGGTTGTCCCAGTTAAGTCATTTAAGCTCCAAGAACTCAGCAGGGTCTTTATGTAAACAAACTTTTACAGGTTGGGGAAGGGGTGTTAAAACATTTACATGAAGGTTTTACAAGGTGGATTTGCATTATAGGTAAACTGGGATAATGGCACACCCATTAAACCCCAGCACTAAGGAGGCAGAGGCAGGCAGATCTCTTGAGTCTAAGGCCAGCCTGGTCTATAGAGTGATTTTCAGGATAGCCAGAAACTGAGTCTCAGTAAAAGAAAAAAGAAAGTCCTAGAAGGTGAATAAATAAAAAGACCTGAATTTCTTGTTATAAACAAAAGTTTTATGGGTGTTGGAAAGAGAAGACTTAATTGTTTTTTTGTAAAGTCTATAAAAATTACAAGGTAGTTGGATCAGGAGATGGCACAGTGCTTAAGAGTACTGCTGCTCTTATAGCGGACTCAGGTTTGGTTCCCACCATCCACATGGTGGCTCACAACCATTTATAACTCCATCCAGTTCCAGGCATATAGTGCCCTCTTCTGACCTCCACAGGCATCAGGTACATCTGTAGTACATATACAGTTGAGCAAAACATTTATATAATTAATCACATACACATTAGTTGCCATAATACTAGTGCTGAGTTTAGATGGGCATGGTGTGATGTCACTTTTGAATTTGTTAGAAATGAGAAATGCAGAGTTGAGGATATAGCTCAGCTGTGGAGTATATGATTGTGCAAGGCCCATGGTTGAATTCCCAACACCAATAAAGAAAAAAAAATGTAATTATACCTGAATGAGATGGGCTCTGTTCTGCAGTCTCCTCACCCAGAGCATCTCTGGTTGGGCCCAGAAAACTTATAATACACACTCCATACCAGGCATGGGCTAGCATTGAGGTGAGGTAAATTTTCCAGTGTACTCATTGGAATGGCTCTTCCATGACACCCCCTCACCTGAACCTTAAGCATACCTTACTAGTTATAAAGTTACTTTATCTGTTGTCCTCAGACCATAAATTGAGATTTACTTCTTGGAATTCCCATCTCCACCGTTTCTAGTTAGTTTCTGGCAATTAACCTTGTAGCTAGGTTTTAACCGATAGGGTTCAGGGTTCTCTGGCAATTGAAGGATAATTTAGTTTTCTGAAAGTGCCGGGTCTATGGTTCGCTTCCTTGTTTATGGAGACTTGCAAGAGTTCAATGTTCACTTCAGACACTTTTGAGGTGGTTTGTGGGATAAGGAAATCAGGGTTCTGGAGTCTAAAGAGTTTCTAGTTACAGCTGCTTACTTATCTCTATCACATGGGCAAACTATTCTGCCTCTTTGGACTTCAATTTATTCCTCCATAAAAGAGTGAGTGGTCATGATGATACTGATTTTATAGGATGCAGGAGTGAAAGAACCTGTGGGAAATATTCTTGGCAGTCCTTGCTACATGACATATCTCATTAAAAACTGACATTTTTCTTTTCCCTTTGCTTTTTTTTCCCCCATTGAGGAACTTTCTTGTCTTATACCAAGACTTAAACTGATCTGAAAACTCATGTCAGTTCTTTTGCTTTAGTCATCTAAATCCTGAGGTTACAGTTGTGAAACACCACCTTCCCTCCCCTATCATCCTATTAGGAGTACTGGGAGTGGGTAGGGTCTCATATAGCTCAGGTTGCCTTTAACTTGCTATATAGCAGAGGATGACCCCGAACTCCTAATCCTCCTTTTCGAGACAAGTTTTCGATGTGTATCCCTGGCTGTCCTGGAACTCTCTCTGTAGATCAGGCTGGCCTCTAATTTACAGAGCTTCTCCTGCCTCTGCCTCCCAAGTGCTGGAATCAAAGGCGCGCACCACCACCACCCAGCAATTTAAGGATATTTTAAGGCCCCACGTTTTTCTCTGAGAAAAACTGAAGGTAATTTTAAGGCCTACAGCAAAGAAGGGTAGAGGCCATGGAGGCCCCTCAAAGAAGAGATTGGGATTAACAAATATGCTTGTGCTAGAACGGGTGGTAGTTAGAACCAGCTCCGATGAATGGCACCCCTGATTGACTGGGACACAGGGACTGTGAGAAGATCAGAACTGGCTGTGAGCCAGACCGGATTAGAACCCAATGGACTAGGAGGAACGTTTCCAGAAGTGAGAAATTAGCCTTAAGTAGGGGTGTGGCCGTGGCGGTGTCAAACCTGTTGCAAGGGACTGGGCGGGGCTCAGGCTGCAGGTGAGAGGGGGCGTGACCGAGCGGGTGGGCGTGGCCAGGTCCCTTCTGAGGGCGCCCGGGCTGCTGCAGCGGGGAAGTGGGCGGGAAGGCGAGATGGGCGGGGAGGAGGCCAGGCCTGCGGGAGAGGCGGGCTGGGCTGCTGGGAGGACCCGGGGACGGAAGAGGGTGGCTGTAGGCCGGGCCCCGCCCCGGGGCTGCTTCCCAGTGGGTTCCGTTGGCCGTGGCTGCCGCGGAGGCTGTGGCGGCGGTGGCCGCCGGGCGGGCGTAAGATGGCGACTGCGGCGGCGGGAGCCCTGGGCCTCCTGTGGGGCTGGCTGTGGAGCGAGCGCTTCTGGCTGCCGCAGAACGTGAGCTGGGCCGACCTGGAGGGCCCGGCCGACGGCTACGGCTACCCGCGCGCCCGGCACATGCTGTCTGTGTTCCCGCTGGCGGCAGGCGTCTTCTCCGTGAGGCTGCTCTTCGAGCGGTGAGAGCTGCTGCGCAGGGCCGGGGGCGCCGGGGCGCCGGGGGCGGGGAGGGGGAGGGCGAGCGGGAGGCCGAGGCCCGGAAGCGGGGGAGCCGGGGGAGCCGTGGGGATGCTCGGAGCCCTGCGTCGTGCTCCCAGAGCCTGCGTGCAGCCGGCGAGTTTGGGGTGTGGGCAAGTGCAAGAGGGCCGAGGGGGGCGCCGGGTCCCCTGAAGTGCAGATCTCGGAGTTGAGTGAGGATCTTAAGGGCTGGCTGCCTCCCATCCTCCAAGAACCTGAGAGTGAGTTGTGCTCTCGCAGAGCCCCGCGCGAGGAACAGGAAGGGCCCTGGAGAACCACAGCTAGTTGGGGTCATGGAAGCTGGTGGGCTCAGTGCTGGCACCAGACCTTCCAAGCGACATAGGTGGATGCATGGAGTGTAATGTTTGCCCAAGCTACATGAGCTTCGGAGAGTTGAAGGAAACCGGATCAGTTAGGCCCCAAGCCCTGATTTGTTAGCGCGTGGACGTCCTGTTAGTATGACAGTCGACATCAAGCTAGGATAGGGTGTGGTGAAGCCTGAGGCTTCCAAAGTTTGGGGAAGGTGTCAAGAGGAACTGCTGAGCCGGCCTCGGAGGCCTGCAATGGAAGGAGTGGTCACTTTGAAGACAACAGAGCCCGGGAGTTTATTGGAAAACAGTTTTGTGACCCAGCTTCTAAGGTTGTAGTATTCACAACGTACTTTGCCTTAACCATATGCTCCAAGCTGAAGTGAACCCCTTTTTCTAAATTGTGGGTTGCTGCCAAAAAGATATTACTCAGCGAGCATTCATGATTTTAGATGTGGATTTATTATAGCTGTCTTTCCGTGGTGTTTTTTTGGTTTTGTTTTTTGATAAAGCTTACTCGAACTCCAAGAAAGCACTGTCTGTGTTGATAGAGAGGTGTCTCATGTAAAAACCTTTATCTAGAATAAGCATGACTGTAATGCAAGAATACCCATTTCTAGTGTGGAGATGTGGTTTAGAAAAAATAATCTGTTACTCGGAAATATCTGTTTTGGATTATTTCCTTGATTTGCCTATGCCTTTTTTTCCCCTTACATATAGTTAGTCACTTACCTGTATTAAGACTTGTTGTCTCTTGTAAAAGTTCTGTATTTTATGTACATATATACGCATATATGTGTGTGTATATATAATAATAAATATGCTTTTTAGGTGAAGTAAATGAAACTCAGAGTCTAAATGCCTTTCCTAGGCCCCCAGGTAATCATCATTATTTTAAGACTTCTTGAGGTGGAGGTGCAGGCTTAGGAGTAAACTGGGTCCAGGTACTCTTTTCCTTAATATGTGAGGGCTGAAAACAAGATGTAATGACTACCAAGGTAATAAACAATCCAATCCAAAATCTTTTTCATTGTCATAGGAATAGTCTTTGCTTTTCATACAGATCTGTACGTTTTGTGACTTCCTGCTGCTGGTGGTAAAAAAAAAAAAATGCCTTGTTTATAAAAAACATTTTGCACAAAGTTATATATTCAGATTCTAAAGGGTTCCCCTAGATGGCTGGAGACTGTTCCCTGCAGGTAGTGGTAGGGGAAAGGATCCATTCCCTGTGGGAATTCTAGCTGCATGTTCCTATGGTATGCCAGCGTCAGGGGATGAACTGGCACTCTACTTCTCGTCTAGTAGGGACAAGCACCTTGTTTGTCTCACGTGTGATCTTAGGAAAAGTTGGCACCAGAAACCGTGTTGCTATTTTGTTTCCCTTTGAGACTAGCTAAACTATCTCAGAAAGGGCTTAGACTTGACTGCTGCAGTTTCGTGTGCTGGTCTTCCATAAAGGGAGCAGAAGCTTCGCTAAAGTACAGTGACTGCCTATGCAAGGGGCTGGAGAGAGATGCTCCTGAATTTAGAACCGTACCATACCAGACACTCAAGTGCCGTCTAGATAATTCTGGTTTGATTCCAAGCACCCACATGGCAACTCACAACCATCTGCCGCTCCAGTTCCAGGGAATCAGAGGCCTTCTTCTATCTCCCTGGGCATCAGGAGTGCACATGAGGCACAGAATTGTATGCAATCAAAGCACACACACACACACACAATAGGAGTTTTTGCTGGGCATAGTGGCACAAACATTAATTCCAGCACCCAGAGAGTAAGTGAGACAAAGGCAAGCAGATCTCTGATTTCAATTCCATCTTGGTCTTATAGTGAGTTACAGGACAACCATAGTGAGACCTGTGTCTCAAAGAAACAAAAACAATCTGGATGGTGGTGGTGCACACCTTTAATCCTAACCAGCAATTGGGAGGCAGAGGCAGGAAGATCTCTGTGAGTTTGAAGCCAGCTTGGTCTACAGTGCAAATCCCAGGACAGGCTCCAGAGTTAGGAAAAAACAAACATAAAGCCTATCCAGAATAATTGGGAAGTTTGTTTTTCCTGCACTTTCTCATTTCCTAAATGCTACCTATTTAGTTTCTAGAAACAAATGACTAGCCAATCATAAACTGCTAAGTGGTAGATGCTAACCCTTTGTGAACAATAAAACTAAATCTAGCAAGAGGTGGATGTTTTCCTGAGTGGTAGAGCACTGAGTTTGGTGCTAGACCCAGTATTAAGCTCTTTTTTCCCACATTTGGAGTTCTTTCATAGTATGTGATAGGATTCTGTTTTCCTTAAACCACCTTCTAGGCGTTTTTTTGTTTGTTTGCTTGAGACTGGGAACTTAACTATGTAGCTAGCTGAAATGATACTTTATAGCCCTGCTAGCCTTGAACTCACCTAAATTCTCCTGCCTTAGCTCCCCAGTTCTGGGGTTACAAATGTACACCAGATTTAACTTCTACCCTCACCCAGTATTCAAGAAGTTGAGGCTGGAAGATCATGAATTTGAGGCCCAATCTGGGCTAGTAAGTGAGTTCCAGGCCAGCCAAGACTGAGTATTGAGACTGTCTGCCAAAATGGAGGAGCCAGGAAGGATTTAACCTTTTACAGGGGGAGGATTCCATGCTACTCCTATATTTGATTGAATGTATTTGTAAGGGAGGGAAGCTTGAGTTATTACAATATATCTTAAGATATATAGATATAGGTAGATATAGATAAATATTCAAGATAGGGTCTCTCTATGTAGCCCTGGTTGTTCTGGAACTTGCTATATAGATCAGGCTGGCCTCCATCTCATAGAGATCCACCTGCCTTTGCCTCCAAACTACTGGGGTTAATAGCTATATTTTATGTTTTATGGAGTCTTAGCCCTATCCTTCCTACTTGATTAAAAAAATTTCCTCCCCCAGACAAGGATTTGCCATGTATTCTGGGCTAGCTCAGAACACAAAATTCTGCTTTAGCTCCCCAAGTGCTAGGATCACAGGTGGTGTTAATCAGGCCAAGCCTGGTTGTGTTGTCCCAGAGAGCTCCCAAAAATAGAGTTTGCTTTCTTTTCCTTCTCATAAACCACAGTGCTTTTTATTTTTTTCCCTTTCCTTATTCTCTAGAGAACTGCAGCCTCCTCTAATAGAGATGACTTGAAAAACTATCTGACCATAAATAAAATATGTCTCCTGCCATCCAGACTGACTTCAATTCACTGTATCACTCAGCCTGGCCTTTAATTCCTGATGGTCTTCCTGCCACCACTGCCCAAGTGCTAGGATTACAAGCATAAACCACCACACCCAGCATTATTCTGTTTTATTCAAGAACTACAGTGTAGACCTGAGAATATATAGCTCAGAGATAGAGTGTTTGCCCTGGGTTCAATCTCCAACACAGGCAAAAAAAAAAAAAAACCAACTCCAGAAGCAGTTTTACCTAGCAAACAACAAAAGGGGGGTGATCTATCCAGTGCACCCTGTATATAGCATGTGACCAGTAAATATTTGCTGAGTGATTGGAAAGGGTCTGCTCATCCACACAAATGCTCAGAGGAATTGTCAGGAATATAGAGATGTCTAGTATGAAATAGACACTTGGAGTGAATCAGGGAGGTGAGGATTCTGTGTTAAATCTCACCATGTTTGCTTAGCACTTCCTACAGTCTCTGTCTTTCTTCCCTCATATACACACTTATGATACCACCCCCATGCTCTGCCACAAAGGCACCAACTCTTCCAGGTTTGTTCTCATTGAAACCTGAGAGAATGGTTTAAGCTAGATCTCTTGTGTCTGATTTTTGTCTGTTTTGTGTCTGAAACTGACAGGATCTCTCTCTTGCCCAAGCTGCCCTCCTTCTTTCTCCTGATTGTTGGGAGTTCAGATGTTTGCCTGGATTTTAAGCTAAATTTTAATATAAAGTTGTTTGAAACTTGATGTCTAGCTCCTGAGTACTTGTTCCTTGGTATCCAGCAGGAGCCTGTGACTAGACACTGTTATCACCGGATCTATGTAGGCTAATTTATTGGGATGTTATTGCAACAGGAGCTTTGTGTTGCCAGAAGACAATCATTTTGTGAATCATGCAGGACAAGGGTGAGCACTTTCACTGTTGCTCATTCATTACTTCAGTCTTCTCTCTTGTCACTTAGAGGCACCTTCACTAGGATGTCCAGGAAATTCTCCTGATAGCATTTTCTGTCACTGGGAACTGAATAGATTCACTTGCTGCCCTGTTACACAATTATTTGTTCTTTAAGATGGGGTCTTGATCTGTAGCCCTGGTTTGATTGGAACTTAATATGTAAAATGAACAGGCTGTCCTCAAACTCCAGATATCTCCTACTTCTGCTTTCTGAGTGCTGGGGTTAAAAGCATGCACTACCACACCTGGCTAGGCACATTTCTTAGTTCTGACTGTCCTGGAACATATCATTTTAGCCAGTGTACATCCTCCCAAGGACAGAACCTCTGAGGAGAATAGCCATACAGGCTGGTTAGGGTACAAAACACAGCCCTTTCCACTGTGTCCCTAAGCTGGTTCTGTTGAGTATTATTGAATTACAAATCACAGAATTAAATGACATCTGCAGATCAACTGAGTGAGGGTGGTAAATAGTCACATGGCCACCTCTTATCT